GCCCCTGAGCTGGGGAAGGCGAGTGTGAGCCCGGCACGTGGGGGGAAGGCGGACGGACGCCGGAGCTGGGAGCCCGGCCGCAGCCGCCCCTCCCCCTGGAGGGAAAGAGGTGAGGGCTGGGCCTGTACGCAGCCTGGCACCCGTCACCGTACCCGACAGTCACTTAGCAGACGGGCCCCTGGCGGTGAGACCCAGCCCCTCGGGACCGAGCGCCTGAGGGTGCGGCGCGGGCGGCCCTCCGAGGGCCTGGGGGGCTGGCACGCACCGCGCCCGCGTCGCAGGGATGCCGCTGAGAGGCAGGGGCTGGCAGGGGTGCGGTGGCTGGGGGTCAGGCAGGGGCCAGACGGGCCCCCGGAGGCGGCTGCTGTCAGTTTTGCTCTTACTGGAACCGCCACAGGGCAGGTTTCCTCCCGGCTTTGGGGACAGGCAGACCTGTCTCCAATCCTGGCTGTCGGATTGCCCTCTGCAAAGTCGTTTGTAAGCGACCATCCTAAGGGACTGGACACCCGTGGGCTGCACCACCAGTCCCCAGGCTTTAGGAAGGAGCCTGTGCCCTTGGGTGTGGCGGGCCTCCCTGTCCGCAGCCGGAGCTCAGGGGCGCCCCTCCCTGTCCCCAGGTTCCTGGTGTTTCTCCGGTACCAGTGTTACTACGAGTACCCGCTGCTGACCTACCTGGAGTACCCCATCCTCATCGCACAAGGTACCCGAGCCCGCGTGCCCGAGCCCCCGTGCCCAGTGCCCCGGCCCTCCTCCGGCTCACTGGGCGCCTTTCCCTCCAGACATCGTCCTCCTGCTCTGCGTGTTCCACTTCCACGGGAACGTGTACCGGGCCGCGCCCTACATCGCCCTGTATCCTTGTGGCTGGGACCTGGAGGGGGGGGGGTCTCGGAGACGGGCCGGGCCCTGCCCTGGCACCATGCATTCTTCAGCAGCCCTTTACCAACACAGGCCGTTTGGTTAAACTAGAAAGCAGCCCGAATGCGGGACTGCACGTGAGCGATCGTGTCTCCGAGGCCCAGAGGTGGCCCAGAGGTGCCCTCCCGAGTCCCCTGTGCAGTGACGTCCCCGGGCCAGGGCGACTGTGGGGCCGCGGGGCACATGGGCTGTAGGTCCAGACCTCACTGCTGGGCGTGCTGAGCGACACTGCCGGCCTCATGAGGGGAGGGAGACGTCCCCTTCCTTCCCCGAAGTATCCCCAGTGTTCAGGCACAGTGGTGAGAACGCCCGACATTTGGCGCAGTGCCGCCACACCCGGTCCCCTGGCCTGTCCGCGGCTGGGGTGGGCTCGTGACAGCTGAGTCACATCCCTCCTGAAGACGTTCGGAGGGTCTCCGTGGGGGTGCGGGCATCACACAGACATGCCCCCGCTCACGGTGTCGCCCGTGAACGAGATCCTGGCTTTCAGTTCAACTCTGTGAAAACTCAGTTACCCTCCTGTTGAATGTCACGCTCCTCAAAAGGCAGGGGCGCCCTCAGTGAGTCAGCGAAGCTGTCACCCCTGTGACTCCACCTGCCACGGAGAGGAAAGGGAGGTGCCGCAGGCCTGTCTGCCCCGAGCCCTGGAGGCCCCCCCAGCCCAGGCCACGTGCCTCACGGTCTGCGAAGTGGGCTGACGCCTCTTCAGGGTCACTGAGGGAACCAGGGAGTCCCAGGAGCACAGGACAAGCTGAGGACGTGGCACGGTCACTGTGGCTGTTCTTCTAGAAGCCTGTGCAGAGGAGCTGGGTGCGCGCTCCGTCCTGACCTCCTGCCTTTCTGGTGACGGCCAGGTTGCTGGTAGTCAGTCTGCTGACTTTCGCACAGAGCGCTATTCCGGTCCTTCCTTTAAACTTGTTCATCACACTCACAGCAGCCTGCTGGGCCCCTACAGTGAGCCGCAGGCACTGAGTGGGGAGGCGGGGAAGGACCGTTAAGTCCGTTTTGCAGACAAGCAAACCAAGGTCGAAGATGGAAATGAACTTGCCCCGTCACAGCAGAGGTGCAGGGTGTCCCTCGCTGCCTGGCCCCTTCCCCTCCTGGGTGTCAGCTTCCCTGGCTGCCCTCTATCCCTCAGCATCACCCGAGTCCAGCATCAGCCCTCCCGTCCGCTTGGCTTCGCTGCTCTCTGTATGCTTTTCGCACTGGAGTCAGTGCAAAAGGGGGAAATCGGTAAAGAGTTTCACGTGACAGGTTTTGCAGGACATGCCTACCTTGTAACGTCGGCCCCCGGGTAAGACCCGACTTGTGACATTTCATGGGCGACATCTACATGGCAGGGAATTAAGCCAGGAGTGAAATCGGGGCATTTCCCAACCCTGGGAACGGTCCGTGCGCACAGGGCTCTGTCACCATCTCCCATAACCTGCTTCTGTTCTCTCAGACGCCTGGCGCGTGTGCACTTGAAACCGGTTTTGTCTTTTCCAAGTCTGACAAGTCCTAGCAGAGCCACCCCAGTTCCACACTTGGCTCCGAGGAGGAACCGCTGTGGTCTGGGTGTTCCATGGGCTCGGGGCGCAGGTTGCTGAGGCCGCCAGCCCAGCCGCTTCCTTAACGCTTGGGAAGATTTGTGGCGTCTTGGTTTGTCCTTGCCCTGCAGAGGTGGATCATGGACCTGGCCATGGTGAGTGCCTGTTGCTCCCACCCCTCCCTGCTGCCTGCCCCGCAAGGAACTTGCACTCGTTACTCGCCCAGCAGTGGCGCTGGCGGGTCGTTATAAACAGGTGTCTCACTAAATTGGGTTTTGCCCTCGTACAGGTGGGTTATTTGTTGACTTAAGACTTTGGCTTCAAAGGCGCTTTCAGTCTCTGGTGCTCCTTTTTAACGACGGATCTCCTAACGTTCTCCCGCTTTATCTGCGAACAGAATTTGTGCACTTTCATCAGTGCGGCCAGTAAGTTTGCGCAGCTGCAGTACCTGTGGAAGACCCGGGACTCCGGGGCTGTGAGCACTCTGACCTGGGTCCTCGCGTCCTACACCTGCGTCAGTAAGAGCAAAACTCCGAGGGCGGGGAGTCCTCTCTACCCAGAGGTGGCGGTCACTGGGGGTCCAAGTGTCACAGCCCCCCAAGCTTCAGTCCTTTGCAGACAGCTGTTCAGATAGGACCTCCTCGTGGGCCCCTGGGTACAAGGCTGGCTCGGTGCAGACTGCTCTCCACTTCCTGCAAGAGCCAGGCTCCAGGGGCTGGGGTAGAATTCAGTGATTTAACATGGTTTTTAGTTAGTGGGAGCCTTTCTTTCAATGGAATCTTATCCAAAGCTCCGTATGTAAATGGGATTTTCAAAAGCCGATTTCTGGGGCGGGGGAGTGTGGGTGGGCACAGAGTGGAAGGGGAGCTCGGCCTCTGCCGGGGGCTTCTGCCCACGAGAAGCCTCAGGCCACTAGCGGGCAGCCGGCTGGCCTGGCTGCTTTATGAAGTCCAGTACTGTTTAGCGTTCTGTACTACCAACGTCCTTCATGAACAGTCAGCATATAGTCCTGTATTTAAAATGGAGGCATTAGCAAAAAACCAAAATGTCTGAGTTGATATTGCTAAATATTTTCTTTTACAGCAAGAATAATAACAACCTTAATGACCACCAACGATCTTACAAGTAAGCAAAATATTTTCCTGCCCACGTCGTTGCAAATGTTGTGCCATTCTGCCTCCTTTGTTTGTAAACATTTTAGGGTTTAACAGATTCACTTGGCTGCACTGGATAAATTTAGGGGCCAGTCCTGGTTACCACTGGTCACCGTTTTGTACTGAGCATCTTTTTTTTTTTTTTAAATCCTCACCAGAGAATATTTTTTGCACTGCTTTTCAGAGAGAGTGGAAGGGGAGAGAGAGACACATCGATTGTCTGCCTCCCACACATGCCCCAACTGGGGCGGAGCCTGTAATTGAGGTATGTGCCTTTGGCCAGAATCGAACCTGGGACCCTTGTCTGTGGGCCGACGCTCTAACCATTGAGCCAAACTGGCCAGGGCCAGCATCTCCTCTTGTGGTACCTGATAGTCGATTCCTACCTTCGTGGAGCTCCCACGCCACCAGTGGAAATGGATAGTAAAACAATCAACTAGCTATTGAAAAACATTGTGCTTTGAAAGGGACAGGGTGAGCGCCGAGCGGGAACCTGACCTAGCTGGGGGGAGCTGGGGAGACTGTCACAAGGGCAGCGCGTGAAGGTCAGGAGCAAGGAGGATGCCCGCCCGGCGTCCGAGGGCGCACCTGGAGGGTGGGATAGCGCACGGGGAGCCGGAGAAGGGGCGGCAAGGAGGCGCCTGGCCACAGGGCCCAGCGCCTCAGAGGACAGCCCACAGGCAGCAGGCCTTGTGCAAGCCTCAGTGTAAACCAGGCTTTGACATTTGTGCATTTTTCAGAATTATCTTAACAGTGCTCTTTCCTTAACATGCTGTGTTTTGAGACACCACTTACTGCCTTCAAGAGTTTAAAATGACTAAAGGGGGTTTAAAAAGTTATAATATTTCTTATCAGCCAGAGCCAGATTCCTCCAATTCAGACATTGAAGATGATAAAATTATCAAAGTCAATGGTAGTCATGGGGGGGGAGGTCATTTTCCCAGAAATATCTGGAACCATATTTGGAACCCAGGTTGTTCAACAGTGATCATGATCTATATAGTTCTTTCATTATTTAGGGTGGGGTGGGATGGGGTGAGGCTTTATTTAGGCTCCTAGAGCAGCATGATTTTGCTCTATGATGTGAAGACAGCATTTAACATGTACCTTTTCTCTTTCCGACTGGCCTCAGTCCTTGTGCGTTTCGTGGTCATGCTGGCGTTAAACCTGTGGGTGACAGCTACAGTTCTTCGCTACAGGAAGACGGTTGTCAAGGCTGAATGACGGACACGTGGTTCTTACACAAAGTGCATTATGAGAAATGAACCAGAGAGCTTGTTGCTAAATCAAGTTCTTTTATAAATGTAGTCAATCGCTTCCGAAACTTTTGAGGCCAAAGGTATTTTAGACTTGAAAGAGCCATTTGAACACGTGCTTAAAAATTATTCCTCCCCCCTCCCCCCACTTTATTAGGCCAAGTTAGGGCTTAGACATCTGCAGTGTTGAGAAAGTTGGTGGTTATTGAAAATCATCCAAGAACCCATTTGGAGATCACTTTGACTCTTAAATCTTAAAAGTCATGATTAAGGTCTCTCCAAAGAGCTGACGACATCTATTTTCAGCTTTTGGAATCTTTTTAGAAATAAGCCCTCTCCACAGCACAGAAGAGCATGGGGCGGGATTGTGCTCTGTCAGAAGTAGAACTGTAATAAATTACCAGGGTTCACTTTCTGGGACTAATGTCTAACTGTAACAGGATGGCCTTCTTGTATCATAATACTTACTTACAGTATAATACTTACTTAGTTATAAGCAAGTCTACCAGGGCAAGCAAAAATGTAACCTGTAACCAGCTTGAGTTCATACACCAAAGTAGTCCTTTACCTTCACACGTGCCTTTAAGTAATTACTAACAGAAGGTACTACGGGATGCAATCTCTATGATAAAGCCATTCACAGTGATTTGAGCACTGTGCTGTCATTTTATTTTTACTTTTTGAAAGATTTTTTTTTAAATTATATCTTTATTGATTTTAGAGAGAGGAAGGGAGAGGGAGAGAGTTGAAACATCAATGATGAGAGAGTCATTGATCGGCTGTGAGCCCGCAACCCAGGCATGCGCCCTGACCAGGAATCGAACCTCGATCTCCTGCATCCTAGGTCGATGCTCGACCGCTCAGCCACGCCCGGCCGGGCGCCACATCCATACAACTAACCATTATTAGAATTTAGTACAATATACAGCTCACCCCGACCGGGTTTTGTGTATTAAAAATATATGCAGTAAAGGGTATTGCTGGGTTCTGCCAAGTTCTTACAGATTTTATTCTCATTACGGCATCATATTCTAAACATCACAAGATTACTGTACGTGGCATTTTTCTGTAAAATTTTATAAACCCTAAGATTTAAAACTCTCTTTCCCCTTATAATTGAATGGCATTATGCTGGTGTGTATATATACGCAGGAAGTAAATGATGCTCACTAGATGTTTTGGTTTCCTGTGTAAAATAAACTTACATATTTTGATCTCTGCTGAGTCTTAAAACTGCTTTAATGCAATTAGTTTTTAGTTATGTAAAGTGCCATTTAAAAAATATAAACTGTGGTTAATCCTTCAAGAACTACTGCTTGGGACCAGCAACATGGTATCTAAAAGGAAATCGTTCATTCTATAGTTTTTAAAATCATAGTTGTCACTTTAAAAAAAATCCAAGTAAATCTTTTCTCATATGCAGTTACAACTGACTAGTATAAATAGAGATTATGTGACTTTAGTCCAACAAACATTTAAATATGCTTTTTTGAACTGGCACTTTTTGCCATTGTTTAAAGTAACTCCCTTAAGGATGTTCTACCTCAAGTGAAGAGATCTCCATCTTTTCCCTTTGGGAGGGAAGGGAACAAACGGCTGAACCATTCCAGATACTCCACAAGCTTCCTAGTTAATCCCACAACCACCCCACGAGTGAACAATCTCCATTTTACAGAGGAAAGCACTCAGGCTCAGTGAATGACCTGTCCGAGATCAGATACCCAAGAAATGTCCTCGAAAGAACCCACTGAGTACCATAGAAATGCTTTTTAGAACACCTCTTGCCCACACACCACTTCTGACAACAAAGGCACCTGCCCCTTTGCTTTACCCTTGGCCCAACACGCAGGTTTGCGCCCCTTAAAATCCAACATCAAGTCAGACAGACTCCTGGTTGAAATTCTGTGTTTTGTATTTCTCCGTGTGTTAACTGACAGGGCCAAGGTTCACAAGTCTGTGAGCTTAGTTGTGACTTGTTGGCTATACCCACCTTTTATACCCATCTTTTAGGGAAAGCAAATTTTGGGGATAAATTTTAGGTTGCAGCTTTCCAGGAGTATTTCACAGGAAAAGTAGGAAAATGCTTATGTCTTAATTATTTATTTTTTTAATATAAAAAGCAGGCATAAAATACAATTACATTACTACAAAGATGCAACAAATTTTAAAAAAAGGAAAATCGGGGGATATGATTTTTGTTCAAAGGGGACAGCTGATCAAACATTTATGATTATCTAAACCATGCAGTTCATAACTTATTACAACTTCAAACAAAACCCATCATGGGGAAGGGAATGAAGGAGCGGACAGTCCCCCCAGCATAATATTCGGCACTGTCACACAGCACCTGTCTTCAAAGTGCTTTATGAATCAGCCACGGTGTCTTCCCAACCTGGGGAAACTGAGGCCTTATCCCAGGAAGGACAGGTGAGTCAGTAGCAGTGTCCACACAGACTAAGAAACAGATGTGACCTCCTCTCATCAGAATTTTAAAACCATGTTCCTTAAAGCTTCTGCAAGGTAACAGTGCCTAAGTTCCCTGTCTCACCACCAGAAACCCAGGAGAGCAGATCAGCAGCAGCATAACTTCCTAAACTGTGGCTGGCAACCTAGAGCACTTCTCCTCAGGACCTGCCGACAGACAGAGGAAGGAGATCCTGCAGAGCCAGATTCCTGTAGCTCTAAGTGCAGGTTAGCTTTAAAAACACTAACCTGCATTTTAGATTTATTGGTACACATATCCTTTAGCTGTGGCATTTTAAATGTTCAGATAGGTTTTTAAAAAATTCTTGCTTCTAGATAGCATTTTTTAAATACTTTTCAAAAATACACTAATTTTCAACAGTAATACCAATTTTACTTCTACTCGTCTAGCTATCCCCGCGAAAGTACAAAAATCCAACTAAGAAAATCCCAGTTTTCACTACTTCTTAGTTCTCAGTAGGAGGTATTTATGGCTCTAGGAGAAATAAGGTGTGAGGAAAGAGGCCTCTTTTGGTCTTATATTTATTGTGGAAGCTTTAGAGCCTCAAGAAAGAGAAGCTGGCACAAAATTTGGTTGTTTAACCAAGTCAGAATCACATTTAATGAGTACTGGAAAGAGAACATTTGGGTGAGTGCAGGCATCATTCATGTATGTACATGAAACCAGCAACAGGGTAAAAAGCAAATTCTTACCCAAGGTCAGAATCCTTTACATTCCCACTGTTGGACAAACAACCTTATAAATCCTTATGTCAAGCCACATAATGTGAATAATCTCCATGGGAGAGATTTTTTTCACCCCTTAGAATATCCCCCCCCCCGGAATCACACTGATCTTCCTCTATAGTTGCATCACACCATGATTCTCCACATTCTCTAATATATACAGCTTCAAAATTTAAACTTTTGCCATTTTTACTCAAATATGTCAATTACTCATGTGTAAACTTCAAATTATTTCACCTTAATAAAGTTTATTAAAAATATATATATATACTCTCCAATTCAGAATAATATGATAGAACCTCCCATAGTGTAACAAAATCTTTATATAAAATATTAATTCAGTCTCCTTTTAACAAGTCTAATGAATGGAAATATTTATTCTATATAAATTTTATATATTTTTCATTTTTAAATCTTACTTTAAAAAAAAAAATCTGTGCCCCCAAACCGGAACTGCAGAATACCCCTGCGAGGGACCGCCCACATCTCGTCTCAGCACAGACAGTGTGAGAGAGTGCAGGCTGGACCCTGGAAGCATAGTGAGAGGCAGTTTCAGCATTAGGAGCCACAGGCCACTCCTCAGTTTCCACAACAGGATCTGTAACTGGGGACCTAACTTTAAACATCTCCACACTGACCGCCGAGGGAACAATGAAAAATGTCTCAGTTCCTTCACTGAAATATCAGATGATGTATTTCAGTATCACACCAAACTGTGTATGTGTTGTATGTATACAGAGACCGATAAAAGACTACACAATTTTTTTACTCGATGCTTCTCATGATGCATACTGTCGCAGCATAGGATATACACTTTGTGGGATGAGAAATACAGCAGGAATGGTCCTGCACACGCTGTAACTTCCACAGCATTTCAAGAATTAAAAAGTTAAGTGCCTCTGAGGCCACTTCCCAGTCACCAGTTTTCAAACCCAACACTGAAATATTGCCATACACAATTGTGTGTTTAAGGGCTCACATTTAAATACTTAAAATATATCTAGAGTATATTTTAGTTTTCTTTATATTTGAGATAATTTTTGAATGCTGAGTGTGAAATGTAAAAACAGTCACAAATGTACTTACCAGGAATAAAAACGTATCTAGGGCTGTCAGCAAATTCCAAGCAAAGGAAACATTTCATAGTCACGCACTAATACTGAGGTCTGTAAAAAGGCTTGGATGAATAATATACATAAAAGATATATTAGTTCTAATACTATCCATTATTGTTTCTATCACCAATACTTTAAAAAATTCTGTTATACAATCAAAATAGGCTGACACTGATAACTATTACGTGTAAAAATAGTGCACTATTTTCTTCTGCAAAGCAAATTTGCATCCTAAGAGCTGGTAAACACTTGTTCTTTAATACAGAAAAGGGCTAAGACTGAAAAAAATTAAATTAAGGCATTCAACATGGGTAAAGTTGCCTATCATGAAGCATTAGGAAACTGATATAATTGTTCAAACTTTGTTACAATAACATGAACATGCAGCTCCATCAGGAACACATATAAGTGATATGAACCCCAATGTTATGGCTTTATACAAGTGCATAGTTGCAACTGTAGTAATGATAGCTGATTAATGAGTATAAAAAAATAAAGTGGGAAGTTTAAAAAACCCTCTTGCCGTATTACAGTACTATATATGTGAGTGTACATGTATACACACACACACACATATACACACACACAGTATAATGGTCACTTCTCAAAGATGCAGTCTGTATCACTGTAGTGAAATCCGTCCCCGATTCTTACGGTGAGTATGCTGGTGAAACCTCTCTGTTGAAGCTGAAAAGGTGATTTCTTGAACTCTCCTGAATCCTTCTGTGCAATGTAGTGTGAGTGACTGCCAAGAGAGCTTTATGGAACAAGTTTGGAAGAGCCGCATATGATGTCCCTATACTATTAACAAGTCACTGTTAGTTCAACCTGTTGCTCCAAAGGAGCCTAGAAAAATCTCTCCCAAGATTTATAATTTATGTTGCAGGAATAAAGGGAATATGTATGTGTGTGTATCAGTCTCTCAGGAAAATACAGCTTCTCAATAAATTTTGGGCCATCATATTTCAGTCTTGTTTTAACTGGAAGAACAGGATCACCTTGAATAATGGATGCGTTCATAGAAGGCAGTTAGCTGGAAAGGAAGGAAAAATAAAGTTAGTTGAGACAGTGAAATAATTTAAGATATTGTTAAATTCTTTGAAAGGCATTCCATGTACGCCACTAAACTATATAGTCTTCCAACTCCAATACTTTTAACACCTAAATCATGCATAAAACATATTTACTATGTTACTTTTCTTATTTTTAGGTACATGCAATTGTAGTCTTTCTCGTATATTCCCATACTGGTTATAAACATGACACAGTTTTAATGTTAACTCACTATCAGGGTTAGACAGTATGTCACTGAATAACTCATGTGAACGTAAGTTGGACTTGGAGTTTAACTGCTAGCTGCCTCATGTAGCTGAAGGAACAGTGGACTTATGGATCAGGTTCTATCTTAAAATCTATGAAATGGGAACATAACCACTGTTGTAGAAAATATATGTAAAAATACTCTGTATATCCTGGTTATAAACCCATCCCCAATATTACATGATTTAAGTATGTTTTGCAGTGTGCTTATTTAGGTTAAGATAGACCTTCCTTTAAATCCATTCCATGCAAAACATTTAACTCATGAGGTTCAATTTTCATTGAAATCGACTTCAGCCACTATTAACCAAACTATTTTACATGTTCTAAAAGCACAAGAACTTTCACACCACATCACCGGCATTCTTCAGCAGGAGAAACATTACATTTACAAAAAGCAAACATTCCACAGCATCACAAAGAAAACCAGATCAGAAAGCACTATTCCACAGCACTTATTAGACTTACAAAGTTTTAACTGTTTCAGTTCTTGCAAGTCAGAAAGAAGCAAAGAGGAGGGAGGAAGGGAGGGAAGGAGAGGAGGATGGCGGGAGAAAGGAGTCTCATGCTATGTTCACAAACTAATACAGTTGTAGGAACTTAAAAACACTGCAAATTGTACTTCTATGAATATGGCTTCTGTAGAATAAACAGAAAGTGCCATATTTAGCTCTTTTTGTTATTTCTACATTTTTCATTCCTTAGAAAATTATAATTCCAACTGTATTGAAAAATATATAGCCAATAAAGAATCTGAACATAGCATTTCACACTTCTAATTAACATAAAAATTTTAGTTAGAAACTTTTCTAAAAACTACTTTTCAAATACATACTATTAAAAACTTAATAAAATTTCAAAACTAGTCAGAAATAATGAAACCCAAGTACAAACCACATGCGCTACTTGGAAGTACTAAAATAACTGTTTTCACTTTTAGATTTACCCCATTTCTTCAGAAATCAAAAACATCGTCATCATCATCACCACCATCAACATCATCAAATGACCAATCCCAGTCTTTAAATGCCAAATCAAGCAATCTGCAATAGGAGGTTTGCACATTTATACTCTCAGAACACTCTTCAGCAACAGCAGTTTAATAAGCTACGATCTAGAAATCACACTTTGAATGTGCTGTAAGCATGTTTACTTTTCCCTCCATCGATAAAAACATGATGAAATTAAGATGGAAAGAGACAGGAAATCTTCTTTCTCTGTATATATAAATGCATGTAACCATGCTGGCGAGATATGCCTTCCAGAATACCAGAGAACTGAGGACAAAGTTGATATTTGGTGATAAGATGCAATCGTCTCTCCACCAGTCCCAGATGAAGAGAGAACCATTCTGATGACGTCTGATTTGAGAACTATGAAAGCTCAAAATTTGTCAACATTCCCTTCACACAAGTGCCCAGATCATCAGCTCAGTTTTCTAGAATAGCACCATGAGCCCTAGTAAAAAAGGGAAGTAGTATTAAGCATGTAGCTTTCTCCACTCCCGCAGGACCCTACTTGCTCAATGGGTCACCAACAGTTATGTGCTCCATGAAAAATTACGGATGAGGGAAAATCCACAAGTATATAAACAGCGTTAGCAACTTATCTTGGCTAAATAAAATGGACTCCGAGCAGAGGCATATCTGGTCTTCTTTCCAATCCAATCCAATCATCTAATATTGCAATTATCTTTATTTTAAAAATAGGAATAATTTTTTCATGGTTCATAACTGTGATGTTCATGAATCGACTTATGCTAAGGAACTCATCTGGTCCCTAAAGTCTCATCTGTGATCACTGTCATTGGTTCTTAAATTTTAGTATATATGGTTTTCCCAATGCTATTTATAATGTGTATTCCCAGAACACATCCCAAGAGATTCTGATGTAATTGGACTGAAGAAAAGGAGGGCAAGTATTTGCATTTTAAATAAAACCCCGAGATAAATTCTGATGCAGCTGTTGGCTCCAAGAATCACTGACAGAGTAGGCGGAAGGATGATCACCCTAATTTAAAAGTAAACAAACCAACTCAAATTACTCTATTTCAAAATGTGGGAATGCATAACAATATCTGAAAAAATATACAAACTCAGAGATAATTATTTAATCATTTAACATGTATCACAACCTAGTATATACTAATTTTTCTAGGCTTACATATAAAGTAACTTTTAGCTATGGTTTCGACTCTCCTGCTCGAGAGATTGAGATCAGTAGGCTTTCCTGGGTGTCCAAACCCCAATTTTAGCCTATGTTATGAAAAATCTGCATTTCAAATCCTTCCAAACCTCTGAAGTATGTGCAAAGTATGTATCTTTCAAATTGTAAAAGTCTTATCACTAGTTCTTAGAGCAACGCATGACAAGGCTTCCCTTAAAACCTCTCCCTCATCCCCTCCCAGTCATGTAATTCTTGTCATTTCAACTTAAGAAATCTTTCTTTAACTTGGTTTCTTCCACTGTCAGTTCTTTAGAGCAGGACTTCATCAAGTCTAAACATACCAATCTCCTGTTGAAAGACTTCATCTGAAGAACAAAATAAAAACTCCTACAGCATAATGTACACGGTCCCTTTTCAACCCGGCTCAGGGCTTCCTCTCCTGCGCCACCCTCCACCACTCCAGTCCTTGCCCTCCCCACCCTCACCCAATAAAAGACTACAAACACTAAGCAGTTCTGACAAGATGGTCTCTCTGCACATCACATTTTGCCTGGAACTCTTTTCCCAGAAAATTAATGACACTCCATTTTTGGGACACCTTTCTTGATGCCTTCAGGCAGAATTCCCCATGCTTCCCTTCGGCCTCCATAACACTCAGTCATGAATCTATTATAAACATTTAAATAGTACTGTAAACATTTTAAACATCTGTTTAATTGTCTATCTCCTGCATTTAATCAGTCAGCTCAGGTCTGTGAAATGTACTGCTTCAGAAAGGGTACAGTTTAATTCTGAGTTCTACTAGCAGAACATGAGAGTGCCCACTTCCTTATATCCTGTCAATACTACGTTTCTTGCCTGTACCAGTCTGGCAGGTGAGAATGATTTTAACATTATAGTTTTAATTTCTCTGCTTAATAATTAGGTTGATCACTTTTTCACAATCTGAAGAACAAAATAATGCCTGAACATTTCACACTAATTTTTATATTGGGAAGAGGAAATCTCCTTTTTCTTAATGATTTCTTTGAGAACTCTAGATAAAAGATACTCTATTGCAAATATATGGTGTTTTTTAAATTTACGAGGCTTCACTTTTGGTTAGGCAATCCCTGGCTTTTCTTTGTTTTTATTCTTAGGAAGTTCTCCAATCCAAGATCAGATATATATTTTCTTCTATACGATTTTTTTTTGACACTTCAACTTGTGTATAACCTATTAGCTTTTCCCAAATAATTACTCTATTAATGTTCTGCTATTTAGAAAAAGAAAAGAAGAACGATGACATAATAGCTGCCTTCACTCCTAGTTCAAACTGTATTGGCAATGCCTCACTTCTTGAAACTGGATAAATGAGGATGTTTTGCATTTCTGCTTTATGCTTTTCTACTTGGCTTAAATATTGCATTAAAAAAAAAGATCTTGCCCTGGACGGTTTGGTTCGGCAATTAGAGCATCAGCCCTCGGACGAAAGGGTCCTGGGATTCGATTCCAGCCAAGGGCACGTACCTCGGTTGCAGGCTCAATCCCTGGCACTGGTTGGGGCTCATGCAGGGGGCAACCAATCTATGTGTCTCTGTCACATCAATGTTTCTCCCCCACCCCACCCCCCTCTGAAAAGCAATGGAAAAAATATCCTCGGGTGAGGTTTGAAAAAAAAAACAAAAACTAAAAAAAAAGATCTTTGGAGGGGGTGAAGGAGGCCTAATATATGGTGACGAAAGATTTGACTTGGGTGGTGGGGACACAGTGCAATATACAAATCTTGTATCATAGAAGTCTACGCCTGAAACCTACATGAGCCTACTAACCAATGTCACCCAATAAATTAATGTTAAAAAAAAAGATCTTCAAAAGAAAAGTAATTACAGAGAAATAAGCCTCAGCAGAGACCACTATTTTGTGCCTGGCATTAGAACAAATTGAGGATCTCCCCAAACTGTCTTCATCAAAAGTCAGCATTTTATTCACAAATTTCCTAATTTTCCAACACAGTATTTCAATTTTAATTCAAAATTACCAAGAAAACATTTATCTGGAATAGCATTTCTACACGTTTTATAAACTATCAATTTGTTTCTCCTCACGTGACTGTGAGGCAGGGGTGCACTCCAGGTGACAAGGTGGAATCGGGAACTAGACTAGAGTGTGCATCTGAACTCATGGCCCTGCCACTCATCAGCTGTGTGACCCTGGGCACACAATGCTCTGTGTCTCGGTATCCTCATCTGTTAAATGGAGACATTAATAGCTAAATCACAGGCTGGTGTTGAGGATAAATAAGTACAGTTAAAGAAGAGTGCCTAGCATAAAATATGCCCTTGAAAATGTTAATGATCATAATAGCTAACACTTATTTAACTATTAAACAATTCACCACAGAAAAAGTGTTGCAAAGATAGTTAACAGGAGGATCAGAACCAGGAATGCCGCAGAAGCCAAAGAGGAAAATGTAATGGTGCAGTTGTTAACAAAACAGACACTGAGAAAAAGTTTTTTTAAAAAAGATTAGGTGTGTCCTGGCGGATGTGGCTCAGTTGGTTGGGCGCCATCCTATGCATGGAAAGGTTGCCTGTTGACTCCCGGTCAGGACATGGGCCCAGGTTGTGGGCTTGATCCCTGGTAGGGGGTGTGCAGGAGGCAGCCAATCAATATCTCGCTCTCACACAGATGTTTCTCTCTCTCCCTCTCTCTTCCTTTCTCTCTCAAAAAATTAATTAAAAAATCTTAAAAAAAAAAAAAGATTAGGGGTATTGTTTTAGTGTATGATGATATCTAACAAAGTTAAACATCTGTTTTAAAAAAGACACCACATAAATTAGTTGAATTAAAGCTAGATTGACTAGTGCCAAGACTATTATTAAGTAAACATGCATAAAGAGCTAGATATTAAATTACTGCTGAGATACACCAGGAATTCTGTTCCTAAGTTTTCTTGGATGATCTTTTAACAGCTCTCCCCACCTTTCTATAGGAATATGCTGTAAATTAGTAGAATATTAAAGGCTATCTAGTCAATGCTTGACTAGTTCATGGAGCCATGCTGCTCAATGTCAGGCTGCACACATAACAAAATGAGAGCACTGCACCCCTCAGTGTTACCAAGCAGCAGCTAAATCAGGTACACACCTGTGGTGACAGGACACTCTCTCTTCTAGAGAAGCCAATTCTTCCCATTTTAGAACTTCTGATTGCCTGACAGCTTTCCCTTCCTGAGTTAAAAATGTCCCTCTCTGCTTGGTTCTTGTTCTAATACATATTCTAAAGAAGGTACTTTATACTTAACATCTTTATTGTTGTTTATGATCGCCCATCCTTTCAAATAATTTCTTCAGAAGACTAAATATCCTTAGTTTCTTCACTTGCTACATGTATAATACTTTCAAATGACCCACTACTACCTCAGTGATTCTCTTTGTACACCCTCCAATTTGTGCTACTTAAAATGTGACACCCCAAAATGAGTGCAAACTGTAGTTATTCACGTAAGACAGACACAGATACAATTTTATGAGTCAATGAAGTGATGGAGGCATAGATGTTAAAAACAATGGAAATAGTTGCAGAGGCATAATAAAATACAAAATTATATTTTTAATGTGCCCGTTTTTACATTTAAAATTTCAGAGTATATTAAAAATTTTTCACAAAAATATCCTATACATTTTATAGTCAGTTTTGCTATTAGTTTTATCTACCACACATAGCTGTGAAAGAAAGAAATCCCTATTACTTACTGTTGGCTATGCAAAATGTATTTTTTAAAAAATCAATGAAGAATGATTCAAAGGGCAGGGCCAGAACTAAAACAAAACAAAAAGTAACAAAAATCACAAGTAAATATGCTTTCAAATAGACCATGATGCTGAACTGGGGGAGGAGAAGGAAAGTCGGTAAACATGAAATGATTATGTAAGTGAAATATGCCTCACTGTGTCTGAAAATTGCTTCTTTATATAAACTAATTCTATGTGTTATCATATGTAGTAAAATCATTACCTTGTCAAACGAGACAAAAAAATAAAATATATTAAAAAGACTAACATTCTTATAGTCCCGAAACTGAACAAATTATTTGCCCTTCTAGAGTCTGAATCAAAAAGAAAGAGAATACCAAATCTACTCCACAGGAGTATTTTAAAGATCAAATAAGAAAATATCTAAAACAGTTAAATTATATTCGGAAGCACCTCAGAAGCCGTAAAGCACTATATATTGTGAAGTATTAAAATGGCATTTATGCATTAATAGTTCTACAATATTAATACTAGAAACTTAATAATTTTTAGATGTTTGGCACATGGCACATGGAATGACCTTGAGTGTCTCGGAGTTCTTTAAGTTTCTTCAGCCTAATTACTATCACATAATTACTAATTTTATAATATTTTTAGCATACCTCACAAAAATTCAACATTTTCACTGTTGAAACACCAGTTCTACCTTTGTCATTCTAAATTATTTCCTTGAGATATTAGTTTCAAGAAAAGTTTCATATAAGATGTTTGTGGTTAGAATGAAAAGATTTCTGATAACACAGCCAATACACATCATCATTCATACACTGAAGGTCCCGTGTTAGGGAACAAAAAGGATATCTGAAATTAGATCCCTGATCTAAGTATATACTTCACCCTTTAGCTAACCAAATCTTCATGTTCATTTTAATGAACAGCAATGCTTGTAAGTGCTGTAGTGTCCAGTAAGACAAGAAGTGGTTGATTCTGAATGAAGAACTACGTTACTATAATGCAGCTGTATAAAAATGGCTCCCCCAAAGTATTTTTGTGCATTAGTGATCCTCTCTGAACATATTCCATATTCCCAACTCCACCTCAATTACAAGGAATGTCCACTTTACCTCTTAGTTAATATCTGCATTTTTAAAGCTGATCTATATTGCTCTTTAAATCAAAGACAAATTCTTATTTTAAACTTAGAAATTTGAATTAAGAATGAGGATTTCAGTCCTGCCTCTCAAGTCCTCTAACATAAAAGAGGTTTAAGAAGTCTGTTGTATCAAACAATGTGTGTACCTGACCCTCAGAGATCTGTGTGTGCATCCTGTCTACTAAATCACTGAGTCAGTCAATGTGCTTATATAATCCTAAATGTTATGATTATATACATAAACATGACAAAAATGAGCCCTTTATATATTTTTGGTTGAGTGTAATATGTGTGATTTAGTTAAATTAATATTACATTCACCTAAATCAATAAATGAGACATGAAAGCTTAAATAGTTTCAAACATTTGGTTTCCATAGTTCATTAAAATATTAAGGGAAAGAAAACTGTAATTAGAAAAATTTGTAGTTTAAATATGAAGAGTAAGATATTTCTAAAAACACTTTAACCTTTACCACATGTTTAGTCATTACCTTGGTTTATTTGGGGCAAGCTGTCGACTTGGCCGTCTAACAGACTGGTTTTGCTGTATCTTCATTGAAGTTCTAGGAGACGACCGTGCAAAAGGGTCTGGAGCTGGAGGCTTTTTAGGTATCTTTTTCACCAACCGACTAACCCACTTTTGCTGCTCTTCTGTAGAATTTGCTAATATCAACAGATTCTTTGCCGTTGAAATATCATAATACACTACAAAAAATATTTGAAAAAAAATTAATGTGTTTAAAATGACATGAACATAAATAATATTGATGGAGCAAGTAATTTAGTATTTACCTTTGCAAGGAGCTATAATCTCCTCCTTTTTGTCCATGTGGTCTTTATGACATTTAATATGGCAGCGACGGCACTCCAAAGCAGGAGGAGGTTTGAACATATGCCACAAGGGCTTCATACAAGCCTCACAGTTGGTTGGGAAATGATAGAGAGTAGGAATAAATTCATGTCCTTTGTGGCAAATATAATTTGACTTTTCTCCCACTGGCTCCACTGGAAATTCTTGTTCCTTCTTACTTTCTCCTTCATTGGCATACAGAATCTATAAATACCAAAAAGCACAATGAGTGGTTTCTAAACATAAGTTATTTTTTACATAGTAATAATTCCTATAGTACAAATAAAATAAATCTGAACTATTCATTAAGGAGAAAATGCACCAGATGCTCAAATTTCAGTAGGTTCTGTCTCATTAAGAGCTTCTATGAGAAGTCTTTATACAGTCACTTTGGTTCATTTCAAAAGAATCCTGTTCAAATAGTGCCTCCTTTCTCCCTCCATGATATCTATGTTCCAGCAGAACAGGCTAGCAAAAGGTAAGTTTGCACCTGATGGGTGTTAGAAAGTTCTTCTGGGAGGGAGTGTTCAAAATAATCACCTGAAGAGATATGACAATTATATGCCTTGATGCTTTATGATTCTCAAAAACAGACAACTGGTGATAAATGCAAAAACAGCTATAACTGATAAGACTTTTGTTTAGAGAGTTGAGGAAGAAAGAGAGGAAAAGATGTAGAATATACTCCAAATAGACATGATAAGCACCAGAAAATAATTTCCCCATAGTACAGCAAGTACAATGGTTTTTACATAGAAGGAGTTCAATAACTAATTGTTGGTTTGACTTATTTTAAAATGGAAGTGGTATAAAGAAAAATTTGGCTTCACTTTAAATCAGAAGGAAAGGGCTATTGGGTGCAAAATTTAACTTCACAAGCAACTTTTTTTATTTTCTAGGGAACTGAGCATAAAACCAAAAACAGGAGGAGAAAGTTTATGCTTAAAAAAATGTCATAAGCAACCTTAAACAAAAGGATTACTACCCAGAAACATGATATAAATACACAACAGACTTTAAAATGTAAAATGGAGAGAGGAATGAAGATATAGCCAAAAAGAACAGGCACAGAATTCACAAAAGAATAAACCACCTTTAAATGGCACAACAACTGAAATGTAATCTGAAGATAGCCCAAGAATAAAAAAATTTGATATGTCACGCCACTCTTAGAATCTCTAAAGGTGAACGCAAAAAAAACCCCCCAAAAAACAAACAACCCCCAAAACAACAATAAACAACCACCAACCAAAACCAAAATAAAACTATATTTACCTGAAATATCCTTGGAATTTCTTTAGCATCTGCTCTGTATACATCTGTCTGTGTAACTGGTCGGACATGAAACAATTTGCTAGAAAAGATTTTTAATAAGAAATAAAATATTACCCAAAGATCAAATTACATTAGTTATCTTATACTAGTCATAAGTTAAAACTGACTACTTCGATCCATGTCAGAAGGTCAGATAATATCTTGCTCTATTACATCAATCACTCCTAAAGATTTGGAGAAATTCTCAGTAAGTCAGAAAATTTTTTAATTAGTTTCAGAAAACAACATAGTAAAGACCTATGAAATAAAAATGCTTTAGCTAGCTGAATATCCCAGACTTCCATATGTACGAAGCAAATATAAGAAAATGTAACGAGAGTACAGCAGGAGCTATACTGTATGAGTAAATATATGTACCATGTGACCAATATATTGCACTCACTTGACAAAAAATGTCATGTTACTCTATTACACATTGAAAAATGAAGTTCCTAAAAGAGAAAGAACTCACTGAGACAGATAACAGTGTGGTGACTGTGGGGGCGGGTGGAGGTGGAAGAGGGTATAGGGAGTATAAATGGTGATGTAAAAGAAAATAAAGTTAAATTAAGTTTTAAAAAACTGAAGTTCCTAAATATTCTAATAAAAACACTTACTCTATATCTAAAACCATGTAAGGATTAGAATGTTCTTTATCCTGTTCACTGTCATAGAAAAGAATCTTCTTACTGCTGACGATCACATACTGTTAAAAAAAGGAAGGGAGGAAATTAAACAATGATTAAAGTTGATATATATCTTATTTATTTTCTTGGAAAGTAAATTCTCTATCAACAATAAAAATCACATAAAATACCTAAGTTAAATAACTAAAACATTCTTAATATACCCTTAGAAAAAGTCTTCCTTAAAATAGTAAGAAACTTTGTTTGTATGTAATTTAATTAAGCAAACTGAAAACAAATTCAAAGTTTTTGGATTGATTTAGCTTAAGATCCAACAGCATCGGTTAACCTATTGCTATGGTTTGAATGCTTATGTTCCCCCCAAATTCATATGTTAGATCCTAACACCTAACAGATGGTATGAGGAGGAGGGGCCTCTGGAAGGTGATTAGGTCATGAGAGCAAAGCCCTCATGAATGGAATTAATGGTCTTATAAAAGGGGTTCTGGAGAGATGCCTAGCCCCTTCTACCATGTGAGCACATAGCGGGGAGTCTGAAACCTGAAAGAGGGCCTTTAAAGCCGGCACTCTGGACTTCCAGCCTCCAGAACTGTGAGAAATAAGTTGGTTTTTCATAAGCTACAGAGTCTGTAATATTTTGTTATAGTGACCTGAATGAACTAAGACACATCAAAAATGAACATAGCCCGGCCGGGCGTGGCTCAGAGGTTGAGCGTCGACCTAGGATCCAGGTGATCGGGGCTCGATTCCTGGTCAGGGCACATGCCCGGGTTGCAGGCTCCATCCCCAGTTGGGGGCGTGCAGGCGGCAGCCAATCAATGACTCTCTCATCATTGATGTTTCTGTCTCTCTCTCCCTCTCCCTTTCTCTCTCTGAAATCAATAAAGATATACTAAAAACAAAAACAAAAACAAAAAAAGAACATAGCATCAATAATCATAGTAACACAGGAAAAGAAAGAAATGGGTTGTTCTGTCATATCCAGGATTGTTTTCCCACCAAAAAAGCAAAAGCACCAAGGTCCACGGGTTTCTATTTTCCTAATACCAAAACTTGTTTTATTTTCAATACATTAATGATAACAGTTATTTTTTACAAAGATATATAAAATCATGTCATTCCAAATCAGAAAGTGCAAAAGAGTTTTATGTGTCTCAATGTCCTAGTTATATGTATCTTACACCTACAAAAGTAAAACGGCTGCAGGTAGCTAAACAAACTAAAAGCGAAGCAGAAGAACCATATTCAAAAGTGCCATTTACCTTTCTAACCCACCCAAACTTCTTAGTGTTGTTTCTCACAGGCAATGAGAGCCATCCCTCTAGTCTTGACTCTATAAAGAAACATATGAGGATAAACATAACAATTCTAAGAAAATGAGGAATTTAATAAAATTTGAATATAGAAGTCACAAATCAAATCAATTATGGCCTTCAGAATTTACCACTGCACATTATCTAGGCTATTGTAACAACGCAGGATCAATATAAGCAAGTTACAGGACGCAAAACAAAATCCAGGTTATATCACATTGGAAATATACCTTATATAGTTTATAAAGTCAAATACCATTGATTAAGTTCATGCATTTGCAGACTTCAGCAGAAAAGTTGCAAAAAAGAGAAGCAGCTCTTTATTCTCACTATTACACCTGTGTTGGAATCCTTTGTTTTTCCTTTGGAAGGAGCCCTAACTATAAATATATTGCACATTTTCTTTGAAGAGAAAACTTATTTTTAAATAATTGCATGTTCAGAAAAAACGAACTTTCAGAATGGCTATAATAAAATAAAACTATGTAAATTACAGGTAAAATTTGATTAATGAGTAGCAATATAACCAAAATATTTCTAAATTCCAAAACATCAAAATCAAATAAAATTCTAGTAAAGGAAATTGAATCCTTAGAATTTGTTCTACTGGCATTTGATCAGCATCTTTAAATGAAATCATTTAAGTAAAACAGGCATTTTTTGGACGTTATTCTAATAATAAAAGTAGCTATCACTTGTTTCACATCTACTAAATGTCCGAATGGTGCTGGATGCTTTACCTAAACCTAGTTTAATCCTCACTGTCCACAGAAAGGTCATAAAGGGACAAGTTTCTGACCCCAGCACCTATACACTCTCTCACATCAACCTTCTGAACTGTCTGAACAGAACTGCTGTCATTACAAACAGCCCACCTGCTCACCTGTCTGGACATGGTCCTATACCAGTTCAAGGGACTAAATCAGATGACCTCTAACACTATGCATAAGACTGAAATAGCCCAGCGCGTGGCTCAGCGGTTGAGCATCGACCTAGGATCTGGGAGATCGTGGTTTGATTCCCGGTCAGGGCACATGCCCGGGTTGTGGGCTCGATCCCCAGTCAGGGTCGTGCAGGAGGCAGCTGATTAATGACTCTCTCATCACTGATATTTCTCTCTCTCCTCCCCCCTTCCTCTCTCTGAAATCAATAAAGATATATTAAAAAAAAAGACTGAAATAATTTTATTGCTAAGCTCTAAAACGACTTCAATACAATCACTTATGATTTATATTATATACTGATATACATACACCTGGGAAATGTGGTGACAATGTAAGTAACTATAGTTACTTTACTTTGATTTCAATTCATAAAAGACTAAATTTTACCTTACATTCAACTGGTCATACACTAATTTCCTGTGGCATTTACATTACGTTTTTTGTATTTATACTAACTTTGTGTTGAACATAATTTTATGTTTTTTCTATCCGGTTCTTCATTTCAATTGTAAGGGCAAGGATCAGGTCAAATTGTCTTGAACTCTCTTCTAAGACCTAGCAAAATGTTGCCTAGGTAAGTACTCAATGAAAACTCAAACACATCCTCTGAAACAGTCTATATGCTTTTTCTGTACTGTCACTCTTGATATGAAACTTCAGTTTCTTCTTGGTTGAAAATGTCTAAAACAGGTAGTGAAACCATATCCTCCTAAATGATACAAAGTACTGCCTCTTGTAAGCTGACAAAATAAATCTATCAATTGTAATAGCAAAGCCATGTGCAAATACCCTAAAAACAAACTCTTTGTTCATGCAGCAGTCTCTCTCTAGAGACTAGAACAACTTGCTAGAGTTAGTGAGTATTAGTTAATGTTATAAAAGTTTTTCACAAGGACTAAAATTAAAGATAGTAAGAAAAACCCCAAAGGTGAAAGATTTTCAGGATATCACCTGTATCACTAGGTTCCGATGAAATAGGTAAGTAAGGCAAAGATTCTTCTTCTGAGTCAGAATCAGAGCCAAGAAGCACATGAGAGCTGGAAGGCTTAGTGGCAATACTGAGAGAGGCAGAGGAACGTTGGTAGGTGAATGACATGGATTCCATAGTGTGTGACTGAGTGATATGAACTAAACACCCGACATAAAGGAAGTAAGAATGCAGAAAAGAGTTAAGAGAAAATAAAACGAAAGCTTAAAAAGAGAGCTAACTATAATATATAATGAGTTAATTTAAATAACTAAATATGTGGAATTTTCTTTTGCATTTTTATGAAAAATGTTGTCAAAGGTCACTAAATAAAATAAGTTTAAACTGTTGTTTGAATCCCTACTCCAAGGAGTAGGTTTTTCCGTTAAAGAAATGACAAACATTTTTCTTCACGAACAGTCACAGGGCTTAAACAATCCACAGATTTATATTTAAGACAAAAGGCTTCTAGTAAAAATAAACACAAGGGCTGAAAACAAGTCTGTACCTGGGAAGCCATCATCTGCCTCAGCGTCCCCTGGTCCACTGCCTATGCTGGAACTGTCCATACCCATGTGTAAGGCCTGGAGCTGTGACCGCAGCTGCTCAATGTCACTGTCCTTGCTGTCCAGTGTCATCTGTAGTTCAATTCGAATCTGGCTCTCTTCAGCTATTTGCTATGAGGAATTAAATTATATTAAATTAATTGGATGCCATATGTCTCATAATTTTGCTTCTTAGTTCAATAATTATTAATAGAAATGTTCTATAACCAATAAAGTATATATAGACATGAAAATAATTCTACTTCTTAAAAAAGAAGTTTTAATCTAGAGTTCAAAACATATTCTTACAGCCTGCATTTCATTCAGTTCTTTCTGATATTTGATCATCTGCTGGGTCAATTTTTCACGTTCAGATTTAAGCTCCATATGTAGCTTTCTATTCTCCTTCTCTTTTCTCCGCACATCTGTGTCACTACCACGCTTGATAGGTTCTTTTCGATTCATGATCTCAGCCAACTTATTCACAGCCTTAAAAACATAAAAATAAGTATATAAATAAATGAAATACATTATATTGATGGTTTCTTGGTAACTCACCAATAGCAAGTTATATAAGCACTAATAATCTCCTTTCCTACACATACAGGGCTACAAAGAAACATCTTATGTATTAAGTAACATACCTCCTATATTCTATTCGTTTTTCACTCATGTTTTCTGAGAACTGTGATTTTAAATGTTTATAGGTTTAGCCTGGCCAGCGTGGCTCAGAGGTTGAGCATCGACCTATGATCCGGGAGATCAAGGTTCGACTCCCGGTCAGGGCACATGCCAGGGTTGCAGGCTCCATCCCCACTAGGGGGCACGCAGGAGGCAGCCAATCGATGACTCATCATTGATGTTTCTCTCTCCTTTCCTCTCTCTGAAATCAATAAAGACATGTGGTTTTTGTTTTGTTTTTAAATGTTTATAGGTTTGATCTGATGTCACCTCCTACCACTTTGAGTTTTTAGTTTCAAGAGAGACTTTTACTGGGCAGATCTTTTATCCTGAAGAGAATTTTGCAGTAGTATCACATTAATAAAATACATGTCAAACCACAGAGCAGAGCATCTGGGACCCACAAGTATTGGTGCAGTAGATATAACCATGAGAGTTGGCAGAAGGATGGTCAATAATCACAGGTATCTTCAAACTGACCCTTTTTCAGGATGTCAGCAAATGATCATTCCCTACAGTTTCTTAAAAAGCAGAAAAACTTTATCAGATTACAATAAAAAATTAGGAGGGAATGTGATTCCATATGAAAAAATTAACAACAACAAAAATTTAATAAACACTGAACTAGACAAGGTTAATCCAATCTAGCCTCTACTAACCTGACAAAAATCAGGTTACTGTGACTATTCATAAATACTGACACAGTCACTGACAGCTATGGCCAATCTGTAACACCAGAAGTCAACTGTAAAAGACAAACTAAAATAATTTCAAAATCCTATTGAGAGTTTATTATACGTACTTGAGTTTTGAGTGTTCTCTCTGTTAGTAGCTGCTTCTCAAATTGTGCTTTAATAGCTGCTGCGCTTATCTCTTCGTCTTTCAACCTTGATAGTTCTGTAGCACAGAAAAATGTCAACATTATTATCGATTAACTAAGCTACTGCCCACCATAAGGTATATTTAAAATCAACTTTTTTTTTGTTAATACATACGTTCTTGGGCATCTTTCAATTTGTTATTTAATTCTTCTTTCTCATTTGCAAGATTGGCAACATCACTAGTTAGTGTCCTGTTAGTTTCTTCAAGCTAAGGAATTAAAGTGGAATAAATATCATATCCCAACTTACAAATGTTAAGTTATCAAGCAAGAATTCAAAATGAATATATCCTAGAATGTTGCTTAAACTCCTGTTTTTCTAAGTACATCTCTCTCTACACTTTGTCTTTGTGCTACCTACCAAACTTCACTCTTAAAGAAAATTTCATTAACCATAAGAGACTTCAAATGCACGCCAGGAAGCCAAAAAAATGCCCTTCTCTCAAATATCCTCAGCAGTATTTTTAATGGGAAAAACATTTAATAAACTAAAAAAAAAAGAGCAAATACTGTAACAAAGCTCTGCATTCCATCATGCAGAATAAACAAAATTTAAACTGCAGTAATTCTTTCAGAACATTATTTTAAAACAGAAAATAAAATTTTACTAAAGAAACTGATGTCCTTTTGTATTCTCTCAAAATCCTAATCTCCCTTCCTGAAGGAATTTTTACTGTGAACTTTGGATTCTTCCTTTCCATTCATGATAGCAAACTCTTATGACATACACATAAAATAATATATAGTGGAGTTTTTATGTCTGTCCACAAATAGCACCATGCTGTATTTATCTTTCTGTAACTGCTTTCACTCGACACTGTATTAAGTTGTTGATAGAAAGACCTAATTAATTCATTTTAACTGATACAGTGGTTCCATCTTCTACCAGATCTCATCCACACACTCATTCATCTATTGAGGAGATATTTGAAGTTTTGCTATTACAAACACGTTTGCTGCTGTGAGCATTGTGTCTGAATTCTTCTAGCACATTTACCTTAATGTGGACTTTCTTTGGATAATATATTTAAAATTTACTGGAAATTGCCATACTATTTACTGTACTATTCTATGCCATACTAAATTTACACTCCCCATAGTAGTAAATACAAATTGTTTTCCAGATGCCCTTCAAACATTTAAAATTACCCAAGATACTAAATTTCTGTCACTGTGATGGGTGGAAACAACACTGAGCATCTGATGGGTAAGTGGAATGAAAATCTTGTAGCCAGCACGTGCAATTTTCATCTGGATCTATGTTATTTTCCTTCTGCTTCTGAGGAAGGTTTATGATACAGTAGTTTAATTATAATAAAAAAAGAACCAAAAATTTTACTTACGGATGCAATTGTAGCATCTTTCTCACTGAGTTCCTGTTTGTGCCTTGCCATCATCTCTTTGATCTCCAGCTCTTTCATGATTTTCTCTTTCTCCAAATCAGAATACTGTTCTTCAGCAATTGAACGAGCCAGCTGCTCAGAATCTGCTTTGGTCAAGGTGATCTCCAGCTGTGCAGCCAAGGAGTCCCTACATTTTAGAGATATATCATCATATCATCTTCAATTTCACTATGAAGTCAAAGTTTCTGTCTAATTCACTTCATCAATTTTTATTTGGAGTACAGCAGGCACTCTTCTAAGGGGCAGGACATGTGGCTATGAACAGGAGAGACAGGATCCTGTCCTTACCTTTCATCCTGTAGTTCCTGTTTCTTCTGCTGTAATTCTTTACAAAGTTTGGTCTTTTCTTCACACTCTTCTTTCAGTTCCCTAACCTGTGTTTTATAGAGGGTCTACACAGCAAAACATAACAGAAACATCATCATCATCATTAAGAATATTATTATTTCTACATTCAAAATCTATCCAGACAGAAAGTTGATACAAATATATTCATAACACTGAGTAATGGTGAGCCCCTGAGCAAATTAATATGCTTATTAGTCAACCAATTAATAAAGTTCAGCTAATAATTTAGAAGCGTGATTTTCAACTGAATATCATACTGAAATTTCTCATGAAATGACACAGGTTGGTAGGAATAAAGAGACCAAAAATTACTAATTTAGACAAGATAATTTTGTTGGTTTAAATCAATGAAGCAGAGGTGATGGCTACTATTTCCTATTTGAAAACTGAGCTCAAAAAAGTACAAATGTTAAAATGACAATTTTATTTCTTTCATTACGAAAACAGTCTTCCTCTAAAAGCAATACTTTTAATCAACTTTGTAAGGTATGGGTGTGTGCTTAGAACTATTTTTCTAACAATGATAATAGGAACTATTCTAAAGACAAGAATCATTCTCCTGGCTCTGCAGCAAAAATTTTAATTCTACAAATACAACTATTTTCAAATTGATGTGTCTGGAACTTACGGAGAAATACTGTTCTGCTTCAAGCTGATCTTGGAGCTCTTTCATTTGCCCATCCGCGTCTTGACGTTCTCTGTGGTAACATTGAGTCAAATGTTTAGATAAGTTATACACATATTAAACCAGCGATTCTTAAAATGTGGTCTGGGGAACCCCTAGGAGTCCCCAAGACACTTTTAGACAATCCACGAGATCATATCATTTTCAAAATACTAAATAAGCATTATTGTGTGTTTTTTAAAACTCTCATTCTCTCGCTAATGTATATGGACTTTTCTTGAGGCTAAAGGCATATCATGATATTATCCCTCCAAGAGCTAATGAAATGTGTACTTTTATGTCTTAAAATTCTGTTTTAATTTCTAAGACAAAAAATATCATTAGATATAAATCACATAAACAAACATTCTTTGGCCTTTGATAATTCTTGAGAGTATAAAGGGATCCTGAGACCAAATAGTGCTCTATTAAACCAGTAACACTAAATTACATATTTTCATACATGCATTGTAATCAGCCACTTATGCCAGCCAAGTTTTAGAATGAAAAGAGCAGCCCCAAATCGGTTATCTTATATGAGTGAAGAAATGACTTATATGAGGGAAGAAGGCCTGAGAAGAGGTAAGGAGTTCAGGGTTTTATATCTAAATGTGACGGTAACTGCACAGATTTGTACACTTTGTAAAAACCCAGTGAGCTCTAACACTTATCATTTGCATACCTTTTCTGTACGTATGTTAATCTTCAATAAAGAAATAAAAAATAAAATTAAAAGCAAACCTAATACCCCATTTAAGAGGTTAGGTTAAAATAAGTTAATTCTAGGCTTATTAATAAACACAAAAGTTACAGCTTTTCAAAAACATATCTTAGTATGTTTTCTATTTTCTAATTAAATTAAATAATATATATTTTTTCATCCTCACTGGAGGATATTTTTTCCATTGCTTTTCAGAGAGAGTGGAAGAGAGAGAGAGGGAGAGAAACACCAATGTGAGAGAGGCACATCGATTTGGCTGCCGCCTGCACACACTCCAACAGGCCGGGGATCGAGCCTGCAACCGAGGTACTTGCCTTTGGCCAGAATCGAACCCAAGACCTCTCATTCCGCAGGCCGATGCTCTAACCACTGAGTCAAATCGGTTAGGGCACTGAAGTATATCCTTAAAAGGTGATTTAAAAATGTATATGGTATTTGCTTAACAGTGAAACATTTCCAAGTCCCAGGCACTAAAGGACAAACAAAACATGCATGGACTAAGCTTGAGGAACAGTTCCGAGAGGAATCTTAAGAGCATGGGGTGAAAGTCCCAGACATTTTCTTCCGTCCAACACCACCACTCTTTCTATCATTGTATCAGACTAAGGTGGCAGTAGTAAAAAACTGTTGGGGAAGCAAATACAATCTTCTTGAAGAACAGCAGCATTCAACACATTACTTGTACAGAAAAAAGAGACAATATGGTCAAGAAAATAAAATGGTCAAAAAAAAATCCCCAGATAACCAAAATTACAGTAATTTACATGTGGATAGTTGTGCATATTAGCAAAACTTTGTCAAAACGATTAACTTACTTTCGAAGTTCACCATTCTGTTTTTCCAAGTTCATTTTCATTTCCATGAGATGATTATTCTCTTGTTTTAACTGCTTTTCTGACATTTTTAGTGTGTTAACTTGCTGTGTTTGCATCTTCAAGTCATTTTGTGTGAGGCAGCGCTTTTGAGTTTCCTGCTCTATTTTTAATGTCAAGTTTCTAACCTAAAAAATAAATTGTGTACTTGATATGTAAGTAAATTATTTTGATTTTTTTAAATCAATGAAGTTGGCAGCATATATGATGATGCAAAACAGATTTTTGTCCTCAGGCAGTGAATTCATTTCACAGTAAAATACTTTTTGTATTTTTGATGTTATATTTTAAAAATGAAATATGGCTTTTACAGTAAAAATAACTTTAAAGTTTTAAAAATTATGATTCATTTAGTATATTATCCAAATTAAAAATTGGTAAAATATTATTTTATATTTAAAAAATTTTTAATTATGAAACCATCATTGTACCTTTATAAATAAACCTAGTTTACTATTAATTCATTAAGTAGTTTATTATTTATTAGCAAACATACTTACATCTTCATTTAGCACATCTTTCTGCTTAAGGAGTTCATTTATTTTCTGCTGTGACTGTTTGAGGTCACAGTCTAATATAGAGCATTTTTTCTCAGCTTCCAGCAATAGGTTCTCCACTTTCTGTTTTAAAGTCCTTTCCTCCAAGAGCTTTTTTTCCATTTCTAAAGGCACAAAAATGAATATAATTTTGAATTTACAAACAAAAGAAGTATATTAAATACATGACGTAGTGCTAATAAAAATTCTAGAGGACAGGCCTCTGGGAGCAAACTTCCAAAGTTTAAACCCTGGCTCCAGCACTTCGTAATTATTTGACGGGTCAAGTTAATTAACCTTTCTGAGGCTCAGTTCCCTCATCTCTAAAATGGAGATAACAGTACCTACTCTTAGAGGGACATTATACAGATTTTGAGTTAATATATGTGTAGCGCTTCAATGCTGCCTGGCGTATAGCAAACACTTGATAAATGCTCACTATTAAAAAAGAATTTCTAATGACCTAAGAAATGTTCATAATATTTTTAAAAGAAAAAAGCAGAACTATAAAAAATTGAGAAAATACACAAACGTCACCCCGATTATTAGGGCTGTGATTAATCCTTACTTCTTTATACTTTCTATATTTTCTAAATCATTTGCAATAGCTTTTGTTTATTATTAATCAGAAAAGGCTTTTAAAAGCCTCTTTCAATCTCAAAGTATAAAGCACGCAAAGTTTATGTCTAATCAAGGGATTCCCTATTGAATGTCAAGTTACTACAGTTAAAGGGTTACCTTTTAATATTCCGATTAGAAAATCTGTTCAAATCCAACTAGGCTCCTCTGCTCCTTCATACCTAATGCTCAATACTTAACTGTCATTTACTACAGAGTTAAGTAAAAATTAAACCTATGAATATTTAGTTTTTAATGAACTGTCTTCAAAAGTATGGAAAAATGAAACTATTCTTCACATGCTATTAATAGCTAGCATGGTTTTCACAACAACCTAATACTTTAATTGTCCCTTTATCGGAAACAAAGCACAAAAAGTTAAGTAACTAGACAAGGTCACATAACTAGTAAGTCATTGATGGTTAAGTCATATTCTTAATCAACGGAGACAATGATCTACAGTGAAAATATCAAAGGCTTTAGACCCAGATTTGAGTATCATCTACAACATTTAAGTTTTGTGTACTCCTGTAAAACACCAAAGTCATCATGCATCTTATGTTAGTGTTGTAAAAAGGAGTTTGAAAAAAATGGCAGTTATTATGCTGAGTTTATTTATTTTCTTCAGTTCAGAGAATAACCTATGAACGAATATACTCATTTTTAAAAACCAATCACCCTACTGTGGGCACAAAAACCAGAAAGAGGTGTAAGTGGATTTGCTGAGGTGATGGAGAGGCAGATTCTATACCTTGTATGGGTGATGGTTACACGTGTACTCTATGAATGTGAAAACTGTTGGCACCTTTTCTGTTACGAGTTTTACGAATCCTTCACAAGAATATTGATTTCCTTTGGAATTTCAAATCCATCATAATTATAAAGTCAGTTTGGAAAACAAGTAATTAGCCTAAGAGAATTCCAAGACAGGCTGGTTTGTGAAAAAGTTAACTTCGTTATCTTACCCTACATTCATTAGTATTGCATGTTTTTAACCAAATCTAGTTAGTATCTTCATCATGCCAGAGCTCAAAATATTTAGTGAGCTTCTATTCTAGTTAAGTCACCTACTATTTTAAAATCTTTATCTTGAAGAAAGTGGCAGGAACCATTAAACTGATGAAATGTTAAACTAAGTATTTAAAAAAAGAGCACCTCTCCCAAATCTGAGTAGATACACCTAGAATTTCACATTCTGTATGCCTGCCTGTAACTATCGATACCACGAAATCATTAATTTTGCTCCGGTCTAAAAATGTGGTTGCATAATTTTGTCTGGGCCATCCTGTTTTAGAAATGATTGTTGCCACGGGGGCAGGGTGTATACATGTAAAGCTTCCCCAATAGTGCTTCCCCTCCAGTATTTAGCAATAAAGTATAAACGAATATTTTCAAAACCAAAGAACTGACTGCAGAGTCAATGCTTACTAAAAGCTACTGGAAACCCTCTTATAAGAGTGCGTACCTTTCATGGCTTCTGATTTGGCTTCTTCAATGGATTCGTAGATCTTATTTTTATCTGCCAGCCGTGCTTTTGTAGTCTTGTGCTCGGCTTCTTCTTGTTCTAAGCTCTGCTGTATAACTTTCAGCTGGTATGTCATATCTATCTCCAGGTTGTTCTTCTCCTATTAAAGATTCAAAGGGCAGCTATCAACAAAAAAGACTGCTGACAATTTCAAAAGCTTACGAAGGTTTTTTTTAATAGACTTTCTAAGAAGGTCCAATACTTTCCCTCTTCTATTCATTCAAACTTCTTGTATAAGTAATCTATGCACTCTACCAGTTTTCTTTCCACAGTACCCATCTCCCACACCTACACTCTACTAATCTGAGATCTGTATTGAGATCATTTGCTCTCAAGTGATCAATGATATTCTCAATATCAAATTCAAATGGCACGTTTTAGTCTTTACCTCTTTTGAACTCGCTATTGCTCTTGAAACTATTTCCTTGAACTACCTGACACTGAATTCACTTGGTTCTCCCCATCCTGCTCTCATCTGTTGTGTCGCTTGTGATATTCTAATTTGGCTGTCTCACAGGCTCCTCACAGGACAAAAATGGACTTACCACTGTTTCCTCTAAAACAGCTACTTTTCCTTTACTCTTTATTAATGGCGCCACTATGTATCCCATCACAAACTGGGAACCTGAACTCATCCCTTCAGTACTTACTACTCACGTGCCACATCTAACCAATTACTAATTGCTGCCAAACATTCCTCCTCTAAATATTTCTCAGATTCATCCCTACTTTCCACCCTTTTAACCACTGCATTAGTTAAGTCTCTATTATCTGAATACTAAAAGAGCCTGATTTTTGTCTCCTGACCATTCATCTTACCCTCCTCAAATCTATTCTCCTCATGGTACACAGTGATCTACCAAGTTAAAGATCCTCAGTGGCCAGTCCATTACTTAAAGAAACTGTTTCCTAACAAAGTATTCAAAATCTTGCATGATCTAGCTCATGGTTAGCTCTGTGTCCTCACTCTGGTCACTGAATTCTCACTCTTACAGGAGGACTATACTGGCCTGCTATTTTTGTAAAATTTCATTGGAACACAGTCACGCCCATTCCTTTATGTACTGCAGCAGAAATGAGTAGTTGCAACAGAGATGCTAAGGTCTTCAAAGCCTAAAATATTTACTGTCTTTCCCTTAAAACACTGGAATTTGTTGCCCCTGCTCTATACTCCAGAAATATTGAACAGTTTACACTGAAACAGACTAGACCTTTTTTATTTCCCACCCTCTGTGCCTTGCTCATGCTGTCCTCCCCAACTCAGAACGTGCCTTTACCCTGTCAATCAATCCTGCCGTCAGATTAGGGATTCATCCTGTGCACCTACTACTCTATGCCTTGTCCATACCTCTACCATTCGATTTACCACACTGCCTTATAATTATCTCTGTGAATTATTACTACTTTAGAAATTACCCATTAGATTGTGAGGTTGTTAAAGGCAAGGAATGCATCCTGATATTTCTACCACAGATGACACACTAAACACATAAATGAATGAATAAGTGAAATAAAAGATTAACTGCAAAGAGCCTAGAAATCATACAGTGTTTTTAAAGAAAAACTTCTGGATGCCAAAAGTCATAACTTTATGTAATTTTTAAGACATGTTATGAGTGAAAATCTGAGTTTTCCTTGGACCCCGAGAGAGAAGCACCTTCATCATACACACTCCTCACCCCTCCCTCCATAAGCATCTAACATACTAAAGGCTGCTTATGTAGAGCTATGACAAGCCTTAAGAAATATATATCCTGCCCTGGCTGGTGTGGCTCAGTTGGTTCAAGTGTCCCATACCAAAAGGTTGCAGGTCCCATCCCCAGTCGAGTATGTTTCTCTCTCTCTCTCCCCCTTCTTCTCTAAAATTAATGGAAACATGTCCTCAGGTGAGGATTAAAAAGAAAAAAAGAAATACATAGCCCTAGTCTACACAACCAAGTCTAAATATAAAAGAGTCCATAAGTATGCAGAAGTAAATGGTTTCTCTTATTATAGAATAAGCTTTCCAATTTGAAACTCTATAGTAGTTTTCTTACACAAATATAAAGCTTAACATATTTTACCTTTTCCAAATCAGTGAATCTCTCCTGTAGTTGTCTCTTCTCCATCTCTACTTTTGCTAATAAGATTTTGCCATTCTTTACATCTTCTTCTAGGCCAGATATTCTACCTAAAATTGCAACATTTTAGAAAACAATAAACCCACAAAGTGTGTGTGTGTGTATGTGTATATATATATGTGTGTGTGTGTGTGTGTGTATATATATATATATATATGTTAAGAATAAAAAATTTGGATGTCACCTCATACTTTGAAGCTGTTATTTATGAGAAGTTTTATAATTTTAGATACAGTTGAGATCCTGTTGTACAGTTAATGCAACTGGAACCCAATTTACCACCTTGGGAGGTAGCTTGATACTTAAAATACCTCAAACTATTTGAAAGTAAATTTTTTGCTCACAAAATTTCATATTAATAATGTACTTCTAACACCCCAACTTTACACATTCTGAAACGTGCTACCCCAGCACATTAGGCATCATCTAAAGTTATTTCCAAAACATGCATCATTAAGATGAATTCAAGTGCAATATACCTTGTAAATCATTAATTATCTCGGATCCATGGGTTCGGTCCCTCCTTTCAGATTCTAGAATCGACTGAAGATTGATAAATTCCTTTTCGAGTTTTAACTTGGCAGTCTCCAACAGGCAATTTTTATCTTGTAGATCTCTGTTGTTAGATTCCAACTGCTGAATCTGTTTTGAACTTTCTGCCTGGCTTTTTCTTAACCGGGCTGAAGTATCAGACTCTGTTCGCAGCAAAGCACTGGTTTCATCCAGCTGTTATTCCATTCAAAATCAAACAACAACAAACAAACACAGGTGTATATAATGAAAACACCTCAATTTCTTACCCCATTACAAAGTATTTAAAACAAACAAAAATCTAAAAATACTTCATGATTTCCCTTTAAAATTAGAGGTAAAATCCTTTTGTAACATGCCAATTAAAACTGTTAATATAGGCAATCATAAATAAAATTCAATATCCTGATTACAAACTGAGATCAACTTACTTGTTTCTGGAGCTGATTCACTTTCTCAGTGGATATTTGAGAGCTCTGGTTTCTTTTTTTCAAATCTTCAAGTTGATCTTTTAAACTGTTAACTATAACAAAAAGCATTTCAGTAGCAAGCTTCAACACAACACACACATAATTTTTTCTTGGTAAGTAATTAATATTCTACACCACAAACCATCATTTTCCAAATTTCGTTTCTTGTCTGCTTCGTGATCAGCTTTCCTCTGATATTCTGCATTTTTGTGCTGAAGAAGTGCCTTCTCTCTTTCTAATTGTCTTAATGCTGATTCCGCATTTTTCCTTAAGGTAATCTGAAATGAAGCTTTACGTTATTATTAGAAAAAAGTATGTATGAAAATCATAATAAAAACAAAAAACTATTTATTTCAGGCAGATAAGAAAACCTAAATAAAAGCTTTAACTGCTGTATCATTGAAACTACAATAATGTTTTCCATATTTTAAAAACAGTACACTACTCTTAATACTGTGTTTTGTTTAGTAATGAAAGTCAAACTTTCTGTCACCAGTGAACCATCTTTATGAGATTAAAAGCATGGGTCAAAAATGTTATGAATAAGCATTTATAAAAAGAAACAATGGTCACTTTTTGTTTTTAAGCCACGTTATTAATACAAAAGGAATTTTTTACTTGAAATATCTACACATACTAAATTAACTAAAGTTTTGCAAAAACATAACAAAAATGAAGCCTATTAATCATGATTATCCTATAACTTTAGTCCTGTCCATCTATGCTACAAGGTACGTTTTATTATAGATCAAGATATGTATTAATATGGTCCTAAGAAAACACTGTAGATAAATCAGGCATCAAAACTTTTTATGAACAAAAATGTTAAAAAAAAGTGCAGAGCAACTTTACCTCTTCTTCTAGTTCCTTTGATACTTTCTCTAGGCGAGTATTAGCAGATCTAAAGAATTTCAAAAGAAACAGCAAGTAAAATAACTCCTAATTTACAATAAAAGCATTTACCATAAATTTTAAAATAATCATATAATTACATTTTTAGTAATATGTTTAAATTTAAATTTTATAATATACTGTTTAATTATCTACAAAACATACTTGCACTTCTGCTCTATTTCCTCTTTGGCTTGTATCTCAGTGCTAAGGTGTTCTTCTAATGTGTACAGTTTTTTCTGAATCTGTCAGAAAAGAAAAAAACTAATTATAAAATTACAGTCACACTTAAAAGATGAGAGACTTAAAGAAAACAATTATAATCTTCTATTTTCTTTTAACTTAATATAATCTCCTCTATAATGGTATAGTATTTATACCTTCCAATGTGACTTTTATTGACAGGGAAAAATCCTCCATCTCTTGCTTTCTGTCAAGGACAGTACACATGTATGTACGATCACACTAGGTAAACATAGGAATGAGAGGCTCTAATCTTGGCAGAATTCTTAATGAGAAATTAAGTTTCTCATTAATTATGAATAAAGGATAGCCTCCACCGTTCTCCCACAGATTTAAAAATACTGTTAGCATTTGTGCTTATAAAAGGTCTATATCCAAAACAAATATTTGGAATATTTGATTGAACATGCTCAAATATATACTTGTGTTCCTAAAAATAAGAATATAAGCTCTTCTTTATATCTTTCTACACAGTACTGTAAAGAGTTGTCATCAATAACTCTTTTGAATAAATGACAGCTAATAAATTACAAGTCATCTTGTCAATTCTTTAAATCTTTCTAAGCCATATCTGTCAGTCTTTAAACAAACTAAAATTACAGAAAGTATTAAACAATCCATTTTTGGAGCATTACCACCTTCAAAAAGACTTAACTTTTTGAGTTCCTTTTTGCCTTAGGGACAGTGGCAGGCACTTGACAAATGTGGTCTCATTAATCCTAACAAAAACCCTAAAAAGTTGGTAATATATCTACTCAATAAACTAAGATCCAAAGAAGATGAATAACTGGGTCAAGATAGCACAGCTAATAAGTGGGAGTACCAAAAAAAAAAAAAAAGTCAACCTAAGTCTGTTAGATTCCAAGGCCAATATTCTTTCCACTAATTCTTCCTAGTGATCAGGTTATCCACCGGTTTCTTAAATATTTCATATACCTTAAGCAAAACTATATATTTTTCTCCTAGTAAGAATATATAGGTCAACGAAGTAGTCAAATTTAACTACTACTGCATTAATGTAACTTGATCACAGTAGTTATCACGTGCTAATCAGAAGTTCTTGCTGCTAATCATATGTGTCCTTGATAAATAAAAACAAAAATACATACTACATATGTTAAATAACAGATCCATAGGAGCAATAATAAAAGGGATACTTGGTAGAAAAAAAGGTTGGAAACTTCTGTCTTGGGAAATGTAGCTCCAAATGCTAAGTGGCATAAGGCTATATCAAACACTGCTAGAGTGATGGGTCTGTCTCAGTTTTTCAAGATATATGACATCAACATACCTCTTGACTTTCCTATTTAAAACAAACAAAGAAAAAACACAGAAAACATTAAAATGCTTGTTTTATTTCATAAAATTCCTAAAACACAAATCATACCAAAATTATCCAACCAAATACTGTAAAAATTTGATAAAATTGTCCTTTAGATAAATTCATTGCTAAATACTCAAAATTTGAATCTCTCCACTATTTCTGTACACTTTCAATTTATTATCTGTACTTCCATAGGACTAAGATTATAAAATTTTCTAACTGGTATTATAGCTGTTCATAAACCTACTCTGTCACTTTTGCTACCAAAACTAAGCCTAACACCATCGTTTTAGTAGCCATTGTATCTTACATAATGATACTTGTCAAAGAAATAAATTATTTCAATGTTATGCTGAACTGTATCGCAACAGAGAATGCCATTTAATGACTCAAAAAGTAGCATCAAATAAACTTTTAAAAATACATGGACATTACTAAAATACTTGGACATATGATTAAAATAGAATAGTAAAAATTTATACACACTTCATTTTTTCTTGATTGTACTGAATCATTTTCTCTACAAGATGGAAAGTCACTTAATAACCTAGAAGGAAAGGCAGGAGAATAAGTTATTTTACATGTCATTTTAATCCATTTTCTAATACCAACTTCTTAGAATTAAATTCCAATCACAAAGATTTCTTTTTTTTTAACTTCAACTTATTTTTATTTTATTTTATTATTTTTTATTTTATTTTTTTAAAATATATCTTTATTGATTTCAGAGAGAGGAAGGGAGACGGAAAGAGAGAGAGACAGAAACCTCAATTATGAGTTATTGATCAGTTGCCTCCTGCACACCCCCTACTGGGGATGGAGCCCACAACCCGGGCATGTGCCCCGACAGGAATTGAATCACAATCTCCTAGATCCTAGGTCGATGCTCAACCGCTAAGCCACGTCCTGCCGGGAGTTTCAACTTATTTTAAATTATAAATGAAGCAACATATTCTCCTTTAGACGCTTATACTGTTTTCAATAATTTAAAATGCAAAACTTTTCTTGCCTCTTACTCTTACCAGATACTGTTATTTAACACTGTTGAGACTGGAGTCACTAAATGAAACTATACTTTCTCCCTCTTCATCGAGTTCCTGTAATTATTTTATTCTTCTTTTCTAGACATTTTCTAGAAAGAGACTTCTCTTCTCCTTTTCAAAGATAGCAAGCATCTCTTGATCTCCAGGTCTTAACACATAAGTGATCACTTCTATTTAATTGTCAAATTCTCTCTTAACCGGATCCTTCCTCACCTGCCTATAAACATTTGTGGGTATCTCCTGACACTGATATCCTCATTTTAGTCAGCATTACGATAGTTTTGAGAACACTGCTGGTACCCGGGTGACCAATTCCTGGTTTCTCTGGGATTTGTCCCAGTTTTAGGATGAAAGTCTAATGCCACATCCTAGGAAACCACTCAGGCCTGGGTAAATCATAATGGTTTGCCACCCCCATTATTACACATGGAAGTACCAAAAAGTTTCTCCGATGTCTTTAATGCTTCACTCAATTATTTAAAACCCTTTGCGGTCGTTTGTCTACTCTCAGCCACCAAAGTTTTTTTACCGTTCCGGTCGTATGTCTGCTCTCAGCCACCACAGCAAGGAACCGTACGAATCTTAACTCTATTCATTCATATATCAGTTCAAAATTTCTCTGAAAGCTCTTAATTCCGACCAGTACGTCACCCATGTCCAAATTTAATACGACTGCAAAGGGTTAACACTTTTCAGTGGCTCCTCACTGCCTGTAAATTCAAAAGTTCCTTAGTACAGCACACAACGATCATCTGTGGCATTATTCTTCCCCTAACCTCCAACTTCAATCTATTTTCTAATCTTACCCCCAAAACTCACTTCATTCGACCAATATTTATTGAATGACCTGTGCCAGGCTCTGTGCTAGATGAAAGGATTTGGGCAAGAAAACTAGTCTTATCAAGTCCTCCAAATGGTTATAAGTCAGTAATATATACCCTATGTTTGAGCCCCACTGCATTACACTACTCTGCTCTCAATGTAAACTTACATTCCAAACTTTTGCTTCCACTACTCACCTCCCCACATCTCAGCCACTCAAAAGCCCCTTTCTTATCTTTAAATTTGGCTAAAATGCTACCTCTGCCCCGAGGTCTTCCCTAACTTCTCCCTACCCTCAACCCAAAGAAACATGACTTTTATTTTTCTTCCAAACCACCTTAGATTTTTCTGGGTACCTTACTTAAGGCAAATATCACATTCTGCCCTTCATTATGAGTATATAATCTTCTCATATCCCCTCATTAGTTGACAAACTCCTTCAAAAGCAGGTATTTGGTCTTATCTATAACCCAAAATAATACAGAGCATTGCCTTGCATTCATTTGTAAATGAAGGTCATATAGCATTCAAAAATAAAATAATGAAATTAAATGAAAAATAACTCTTTTGATAGTCCTTTTGGAAAAACTCTAAGTTTAAAACAAATTAATGCTTTTAAAAAAATATAATTCAGTCCCAAAGCAAGACAACTCTTTATAGCTAGACTCTGAAATAATAAAAATGTAACAAATCACATACAAATTTTCTCTGTAGTAGGTAAATCCTATAAAGGGCAGCTGATTTCCCACAAAAGCTTTAGGAATTGGGAAGGTTTCTACATCTCCTTTATCATCTTCAATGTCATCAAAATTGCTGCTGTCTATGTCACTGCTGAGTTCAGGTACTACTGGAGCCGCCGCTATTAAAAGAAAGAAATTATTTCATTCATAATCAAAAACTAAATAAACCACCCTTATTTTGTTTTATATTAACAATATATTATATTGATATTAATGTACTATATATTAATTATAACATTTTTATGATTTACTATAAAAATTTTAGAAATACATTTTCTATTTTATCATTTCAAAGAATTAAAATTTTATAAGAACATTATTACTACATTAAATCAGTTGCAAATATAGATAAATCAATTAAACAAAAAAAGCAGTATGATATTACTCTAGGTATTAAAATTACAAGCAGCAATAATCTGCACATACATTTTTTTCAGTTTTCTACATTCTTTAAATAGAAATATTTCTTATTCTTCAAATTAAAAGTTTGTATTTCCCCATTCTGCAAATTACTGAGATCCATAAAATTTAAGTCAACAAATAAAGAAACCTATAATGTTTGTTATAAAAGTATTGGGAAATATTGCTAATAAATACATATTTATCGGATGCTTAGTTTGCTAAAATACTGAGGTAATATTAACATAGTTATAAATATTACCACTGGACAAAGTTGAAATAAAAACTCTAAATTTTAAAATTAGCTAGCATTAAGTATATGAAACATGCTTATTAATTCAAAAGAGAAATCAATTTAAAATGTGATGGAATGGAAATATTTAAATATATTGACTTACTCTCTCTTATGTTATCCCAATTCCATTGATCATTCTTAAAGAAAGGATGTTGTTTGATTTCTTCTACCCCATTTCTCCCAAGTCGTACCTCCCTAAGCAATGCAGTTAAAGATTATATAAAAATAAGGTTATGAAAAGACAAAAATATTAACTCTTTATCTTGACAATAAACATAAGGATCACAAGTGAGTTTGAGATATCTTTTTAAAAGCTTCAGCATGAATGTTTCTCAAACAAAAAGCAATCTCAATTTTATAGTATATAACCTCTAAAGATAAATTCAAAAGACTACAGTGTATATAGTAAATGCCATGGAAAGTGAAATATGTTTCAACCTGTAGTTTGTGCCAAACAAAAATACAAATACACGAGACTTCCAAATGAAAAATTCACCTGCGTGTGCCAAAAATGAATGACCAACTTTAGGACGTAAAACAGATGAGGATCCGACTTCTGGCCCAGAACAATTATCAAAACCTTTCTAATAAAATTGTTATTTTAAAACCTCTCCCCTTCTTAAAAAGAAATCATATATTGTACTTGAAGCTATCCATATTTACTCTGATAAATCATATCTATATTTATATTAAAATTATTCTGAATACAAAAAATGTTAACTAATAATTTCATTCTTTGATCCTTTGAGTCTTTGATAAAGACTTATGAAAATAAAAAGCATGTTTTTTATATGCCTTGGAGCAATGTTTAAGAGAAAAACCTGTGAACATTAGAGGGAAGTGCTCCTAGCCACACTAATGGCATTACATTCTTTTCAAAATATCTTTTCTTCACCTACAATCACTCTTTACTGAAACCTCCCTCCCAAAAAATTGCTAAGGCAAATCTTTCATGAATGGTACTCTTTTCAGTAACATATGCTACATCCTAATTTTATATTTGATCTTTCAGTACAAATTATGGTCATCCCATCAAATCAAAACACGATACAGGATTTGTTTTGAATTTATCAGCATGGATTGTACATTAGTCATATAATTAACGAGGTTTAAAGTTTTATTCTACAAATGACTGGTAAACATATAAAAATGATTAACCTCTTAATCAGGAACAATAAAAATAACTTTTCTTACTTCAGATAGAAAAACAAATTCCTAATATTCAGTTCGATGAGAATGAGGAAAACAATTATTGTTAAAAAATATCCCCTGATGGGACTTCTCTAGGTCAATTTTGCAACATCACTACAATTCCCAGAATTCTGCCTTTAAGATTTTATCCTACAAAAAGTATGAAAGATGATGCAGGAGGATGGTCACTACAGTACTTTTAACAACAACTAGCTAACAAACATAAGGTGTGCTAAGAAATCAACATTTTAGAGCTATAAATGCTCTTACTTTAATCTATTCTGATCCCATCATTTTATGGGTAAATAAAATTATTTCCAAAAATAGTAAAATAATTCCCCTAAGAAAATAAACCTAGTAAGTAAGGTTTGGATGGGGGAGCAAGTACCCTCTTGTATGTGTTGATCCTTTGATAGGATGACTCCTGTCACAAATATAAATGGGAAACCAGAAAAGAACTGAATGGAGAGGCCGAGGAAGAAACTCTGAATAGCTTTCTAGCTTCTCTTTTTGAGGCAGGTTTTCAAAACATTGTTCATCTATTTTGTTTTAAGAAATATAGAATTTCCAGGACAGACTTGCTCATATTCAAATGCAAATAAAAACAGGTTGGAAAGGAGGCACTCCCAAGTCAAACACAAACTTAGTTTTTAAGATTTTAACCTGTTGAGTATTTCTCTGCACAAAATGCTCTTCTCTAAAAAATTGTACAATCAAGGGTAGTGTGGCTTAAGCCACCTTAGAGGAGAAAACATGAATACAAGTTTTATTTCTCTCAAATGCATTATTTTACAAAGTTCTTTCTTCTTAGACATGAGGGTTAAGGTTAGAGTTAAATTACAATTGGGCTGCATACACAAAATGACGAGGGTAACCCAAAACCAGGCTTAGAAGTCTTAAAAAAAAAAAAAAAAGCTAATCCAGGATTAAGTGCAATTTAGATAAGGAGAGAGATTGATTTCATATGTAAATAAGAGTTAGGTATGCTTTCTTTTCTACAAGTTTAAAAGGTAAAGGTGTCATCTCTATAAAGACATTCAATGCATTATTACCTATCTGTTAGGAAGGCACAGATGAGATTCTTCGCATGTTTAGAGATTTCTGCATCTTCAGGGAAACATAGTGAGTTCTTATGATCCATAATTTTGCTATATGTTCCTACAAGTGAATCTGCATAAAATGGAGTATCCCCTAAAATTATAAGAAAGAAGACATTGACTGTAATAGAGAATGCAAATTAAACACTTTTCATCTAATGTTTAAACAGGTTAAGTTTAAATTTGTCACATGCATGAAAGAATGGTTATGGGCCAGAAGTCTCAGTCAAAACAATCAGGCACACACCAAGAATAGATTTAAATTTTAACCATACCCATGAACCATCATCAACCCTTATGAGCAAAATAAAGTCAATGCTAACTCTAGAATTTTGTGGGGGGGTTTTAAATAATGGGAAAGGAAACAATTTACTGAATAAAGAAAAAGATCACTAAGTGATGTCAGAGTCCTCTAATGCTTGAGTTGGATCATGGATCAGCCTTTGGAGATTACTCTCTAGAGCTCTGTTATACAATACAGTAGCCACTAATCACATGTGGCAATTTAAAGTTAAATTAATTACAATTAAACAAAATGAAAAATTCAGTTCCCTAGTACACCAACTGCATTTCAAGTGCTCAATGTGGCCAGTGCCTACCATAGTGGACGCACAGCTACAAACCATTTTCATCATGACAGCCTGGACAGTGCAGCTCTAAGAGGTAGATCAGCCCTATTAGTTTCTATATGAGGAAGCCGTGCCCAGAAAGATGACATGATTTGCCTAAGATGACACATATCTAGAGATGAAATGGCAGAAATGGTCTCCCAATGCAGTGTTCCGCTGACTAATGACTGTGATAAAGAGGCAGTCAAACAAGTGTAAAGACAGAAAAGTTGAAAGCATCATTTTGGCCAGTACGCATGTAAAGCCATAGGCCTAAAGGTCCTGCTAGTATGCCTTAACTACAAGTCACCTTAGTACAAAACAGACTCACAAAGCAGCCAAGCCAAAACTTCAAAAGGGGTATTCAGGTACGTAGCTTTTATTCGTTTTCAAAGGGGAGTGGAGGTAAGCTTTGAATTCGAGATTCTTCTAGTGCCATTTTTAATTGCAATAGAGTCTTTTAAATTGACTCCAGTGCCAACCAACCTGAGCAAGCATCAGGGCAAGCTCAGAATACTGCAAATCAGTGCCATTCAAACCCATTAAATTCAGCTTTCAGAGTTGAAAACAGTAGCAGAGGTTTAAATCTCTTCAAATGACCCATGTCACTTCTTACAAAGTATGTTATTTTCTAAGTCCTTAGGAGTCTAGGCAAATAATAGAATGTATTCTACTTTCAAAAGATTACAAGACACACCCAGTGCATCATCAGATGGGGCTAGAGGTGGGGAGAATGGACAGCTGCCTGGAAACATGGTGAATACAGAGAGACCCACTACAAAGACAAAGGTCTAAACAAAGCAGGTCATACTATGACACAACACTAAGCATAGCAAGGCCAATGCTCATGACCAGGATGGTCATCAAGAGAAGGCGATTTAGCCCTGGCTGGTGTGGCTCAGTTGGTTGGAGTGGCGTCCCATACACTAAAGGTCTCGGGTTCTATTCCAGGTCAGGGCACATACCCAAGTTTCAGGTTCAATCCCAGTCGGGGCATGTGCAGGAGGCAACAGATTGACTTTGCACTTTCACACATCAATGTTTCTCTCTCCCCTTCTACCTTCCTCTCTAAAATCAATAAAAGCATTTCTTTGAGCGAGGATTTAAAAGAGAGAGAGAGAGGGAGAGAGAGAGGTAGAGAGAGAGAAGGCAACATACGTTACAAAAAAGTTCCCTGCCTAATTATTATTTAAATTTGGGATTTAGCAAAATGTTCTGATTTTTTTTTAAGCAATAACTATACTCAGCTATCATATACATTTTCTAGATTTTTCTACTACCAATTTCTTTTAGGGCAATCATCTATAAAATAAATTCCCCATTTTCAAAAAATATATTCTCAACTTTAAAGTCATTTCATATAACATTATTAGCCTTATTACAGTTGCCCCAGAAAGTGGATTTGGCTACATCTCTCTCCCCAAGCCAGATGACTCAGTCACTGACTTCCTTAGCCAGAGATATTTATATGTCCCTAGTACTTAGGAATGGGAAAACTTAAGAATGAAATCTATGATGTAAAGAAAAATTTTAAAACACTTAAGCCTTTTAAATTTTGATTTGATGAAAGTAAAAGAAATTATTAAATTTGACTGAGCTTCTTGAGACTGAAATATAAAATATATTTATATTGATAGTCAAATGGTCAATAACTATATGATGTATTTTACTAGAAATTCAAACCAAATATATAAACAAGGAATAAATACAAGAAATACAGTAACAAAAATTACTAACATAATTAAACAAACTAAAAAGTACTTTCAGTCCTCTATTATTATTGGAACAAATATGAATAGCTTTATATTTAAGATATTTACAAATACTATTAAATTAAAAAATCTTAGAATGGAGGCCCATTATAGCTGTAAACTTGCTTCTTGTAGTATTTTCTTAATACAACAAGGTCTACTGGAGGAATATTTCATAGCAGTATACTTTCAATTGCTTTCATATTCTACTCAATTTTACAGTATGAGGTTTGGTTTTAATTCCCCAATTAACACATCAGACACTAATTCAAAGTTTTCATAAATTCTATTTCTCCCCTAGGACACATTTAATTAATATTCCCAAATTCTTGAACTAGAACTAAAGTGTCATTAGATGGGTTTTAAAAAAAGAACATTAAATATTTACTTACCCACCAGCATCTCAAAAAGGAAAACACCCACAGACCACCAATCGCATTCTCGCCCATAGTAGCCATCGCCCCCTTGTGATTTTAGAACCTCGGGTGATATATAATCAGGTGTTCCAACTGCTGTATCACAATGCACCATGCCTGTCTGGGTAAATAGCAGAGATAAAGAAACAAAGATGTGTCTAAAAACATACTCACATAAATGCAATTAATTCAATTATTCATGTAAGTAATATAAACTGCTACCAATGGAACTTCATTGCTTACAAGGCTTTGGGAGGAGAGAGGAAAAATGCATTATGAAATGCATTAAAATCTGGATATTTTATTATCTTGTTTGAGTCATGTACAGTAAGCAAAACTAAATTTATCTTTGTTTAAAACTATAAAGTCTGGATTAGAAGTGTTTCTTTTATTTTTGTTTCTCAAAAACCAGCAGCATTTTTTACTTGCTTATTACTTACTTCATCCATCTTCATACATGTGCCAAAATCTGCTAATTTTAGATGTCCATGTTTATCCAAAAGCATGTTGTCAGGCTTCACATCTCTGTGAATTAAGCCCATGGAGTGTATGGCATCCAGGGCAAGAACAACTTCAGCAGTATAAAATTTGGCCCATTTTTCAGGTACATCATAGTTACTCATAAGGTTTACAAGGTCTCCACCAGGCATGTACTCCATTACCATGTACAGATACTTATCATCTTGAAAAGCACAAAAGAGCTGAAAAATAAAATGAAAAGAAAAAATTTTTAAAAAAGAAAGAAAACCAAAACCATAAACGGAACAAAACCCCAAAACTGCTATTACTATTGAAATAAGACAAATTATTTTATGTCCAAAACTAACTTGAACTTTATGAAATCTTTGATTTTGGACCTGGACATCTTTAAGGGAAAAACAGTTATCAGACAAAACTTCGGTCTGGGTACCGTCCTCACACTTGACCAACAACATGTGTGTAAACAAATCACATTCCCCCTGGAGAATACAAGGGTCTATTTAAATGGAAATATTGTAAAAGAAAAAAGAACAAGACAAAAGAGGACAAACTAAAAAGCTCACAAAGAAGGGAGCTGAGGAGGTGGGAGCAGCTCAGAAAACCTGAAAGATCCCAGACTCGATGGCCACGAGAAAAGGGACAGGCCCCACCACTGGAGGAGCGGGCAGGGGGCAGCCCCGGAAGACTGCCCTCCTCCTCTCTCCCCGTCCCCACCCTCCTGCTCATAATGAGCAGCAAGTGGCAGTGTGACAGGCATCCACACAAACAGTGGCATTGGGACCAGAGAAATAAGACAACAAGCTAGGCTGCTACGGACCCCCAGGGAGAGACGACAGAGAAATCACAAATTCAGAAGGAAAGCTATCCACATTCCACCCCAAAACATGTCCCACCTGTCCCAGAAGCAAGCAATTGCAAACAAAAAAGGTTTCCACGGAGTAAAAGAGCGCAAAACCAACAAATTAACATTTCTGAAAAACCAAAATCATGACATACAGACAAAGCAATTCAAGAAACAAAATTGCCCATATACACGTGAGTCTATATTGGGGTTTTCTATTCCATTTAGTTATTTTATTTGTCTGTTCTTGCCACCAAGTACTGTAGTGTTTTAATTAGTTCTGTTTAACTTGCTTGATATCGATTGAGCTTTTTAGATCTATAGGTTTATCGATTTCATCAAATCTGGAAAAATTTTCGCCATTATTTCTTCAAGTATTTTTTCTGTCTCAGCTCCTGTCACACAACCCTCCTGCCCCTTTCTCAGACTAGAGTTACATATATAATCTGCTTAGTGTTGTCCTACGGGTAACTGATACTCTGTTTTTTTCCCCGTCTTTTTTCTTTTCCCAGTATTTTTTCCCCCGATATACCTCATCTTGTATAGTTTTTATGCTGTCTAGAGAAATGAAATAAAAGACTTGTATGCAAATATTCACTATTTATAATAGCCCAAAGTGGAAGCAATTCAAATGTCTATCAACCAACAGGTGGACAAAAAAAAGTATTGTGCTTATACTGTGTTTCTACCCAACTAGGTATACTGCAATACAATTCTGATGCTAAACACCTAGAGTTAGCATCTGATCCCACAAGTTAAAAGCTTAGTCTTCTATAAGACTCCCCTCACTTCAGTCATTAAGTCACACTTCCGGAGTCCCCAGGCCACCTACATTTCTGACTAAATTACTAAAAATTCAGGAGTTTCATGACCCCCTAAAGTACAACAATTCACCAGGATGACTCACAGGACTCAGGAAAGCACTATACTTATGATGACAGTTTTAATATTGTTATTTTTTAAATTCTCACTCAATAGTATTTTTTCCATTGCTTTTCAGGGGGGTGGGAGTAAGAGAGAGAGACATCGATGTGAGAGAGACACACTGATTGGCTGCCTCCCGTATGCGACCCCCAGGGCTGGGTATTGAACCTACAACTGAGGTTCATGCCCTTGGCCAGAACTGAACCCAGGACCCTTCAGTCCAAGGGCCGATGTTCTAACCACCGAGCCAAACCAGCTAGGGCTGATCACAGTTTTACTTTAAAGGATACACATAGGGTGAAGTCTGGGAAAGAGCACACAGCTTCTGTGCCTTTTCCTTGTAGAATCAGGGTGCATCACACTCTGCAAATCAATATGTTAACCAATCAGGAAGCTCCACTGAGTGTGGATGTGCAGAATTTTATTTAGGGTCTCATTACATAGGCATCATTAAACAAATCATTGGCCATGGAATTAAACCCAGTCTTCAGGTCTGTTCTCCCTGGGTGATCAGTTCTCATCTCAAAGCTATCCAGGAGTTGCCTCATTAGCATAACAAAGACACTCCTATCACTCTGGAAATCCAAGCACTTTTAAAAGCTCTGCTAGGAACTGGGGACAAGGAGAATATATTCTTTATTATACCACACCACACAATGGAATATTATTCAGCACTAAAAAGAAATGAAGTGCAGTACATGCTACAATATGCATGAACTTCAAAACAGTATACTAAGGGAAAGAGACCAGATCCAAAAGATACTATTGTATGATTCCATTTATCTGAAATGTCAAGAAAAAGCAAATCTATAGAGACAGAAAGCACATTAGTGGTTGCCTGGGGCTGGAGAGAAAATGGAGGACGACTATGGGTACAAGTTACCACTTGAGGATAGTAAAAATATTCTAAAATAAGATTTTAGTATGGGTGCACAACTGAAGATCACGGAATTATACAAGGTGATCGTTAAATAACTAAATAATGCACAGGAGACAAAAGCTGGAAATAACCCAAATGTCCATGTACAGATGAATGGATAAACAAATTACCCTACATCCATGTAATGGAATACTATTCAGCAATAAGAAGGAATAAACTATTGATATATTGCATCATGGATAAAGCTCAAAACAATTTTGCTGAATAAAAGAAGCCAGGCAGGATGGGATTAAAGTTAGAATGGACACTGTAGAAGAAAAGATCAGTAAATCTAAAGACATAGCATAAAAATTATACAAAATGAGGCACACCAGAACAACAGAAGACTGGGAAAAAATAAAAAAACAAACAGAAAGAATATCAGTTACTCACAAGACAACACCAAGCAGATTATATATGTGTAACTCAAGTCTGAGAAAGAGGCTGAGAATTATTAAGAGACAGGAGCTGAGAAAGAAAAAATACTTGAAGAAATAATGGTGAAAATTTTTCCAAATTTGATGAAATCAATAAACCCATAGATCTAAAAAGCTCAACTGATATCAAGCAAGTTAATCAAAACTAATTAAAACACTATGGTACGTGGTGGCAAGAACAGACAAATAAAATGACTAAATGGAATAGAAACCCCCAATATAGACCTATGCATACATGGTCAACTGTATTACAGCAAAAGGAGGCAAGCTATACCAGTGGGGAAGGAAAGTTTTTTCAATATGTTATGTTGGGACAACTAGATATCCACATGGAAACAAAACATGTAATCCTTAAATAAAACCCTATTTTAAAAAATCAATTCTGGTCTGATCGTAGGCAAAAAAATAAAAAGTCAAATGGATTATAACATAATGGATCTTCATCAAGTTTAAGGTAGGATATTAACAAGGTAGTAAAAAAACTCTTAAATGCACCAAAAGGCATTATAATCATAAAAGTTTGATTAAATTGTACTACATAAGAGTTACAAATTTCTAGCCATCAAAACATGCTATTAAAGGAGTCAAAAGGCAAGCAGCACATAGGGTCTCAGAGCTCTACAGTGTAAGGAAGAATGTTCATGCATGAGGATGGCTGCCGTGGGGTGCTAAGGCCCAAGCAGGGTGATGAGGAATCGAGACAGAGGGAAGTCTGGCCTGGGATAGCAGAGCCCAAAGGGATGAGGAGGGGAGAGACATCCAGGAAGGAAGAATCAGAGCCCAAGTAGAGAAAAGAGGGGGGTTCACAGAGGGAGGAGCCGGGGGCAGCAAAGACAGAGACTGGTTATGCAAGCTACACGCAGGTGGATTGATCAGCAACTGAAATAGATAATGGAAGCCTCATTTCCCACAAATACAGACAGGAATAAAACTAAAATGAACCTTATGGAGTTAGACTAAGAAGTATCAATGTGAACTTATGGTTTTCAATATCTGTAGTGGACATAGAAAAAAATACAGCTGTGTGTGTGTGTGCGCGTGCGCAAACAACCCACTGAGAATGTATGGGAGCACTGACATCCCAATAGCCATGAGCACACAATATCAATGAACACTTTATAAAGGTCCATTTAGCAGAATTAAAGATCAAAGACACCAATTTACAAAATAATAAACTAGAAATGTCAATGATTCTGCTACTATGTAAGTAATTTAAAGCTAAAAATGGAATGAACAATTTATTACAATTATTCCTTAACTCAGGTAAATTACCTTGATACAATTTGCTATAAAAATTTTAGTTTTAGCACATTATCAGAATTTCTATTCACTGACTACAATAAAAAAATAAAGTAGGAGGAGGGTGGGGATTGAAGCTCAATATCATAAATTATAGTCATTAATGTGGCAATTTTTTTTCTACCTCCAAATTGCCATCCACAAGCAAGGTATCAAACTCCCAGTCATTTAAGCATTTTGAACATACATTGGTATATACCTAATCTTACTCATGACAATTGTTCAAAATGTTTGTAAAATTAGATATTAGTACAAAGAACTCTTTAGAGAAACAAAGCTAGTGAAGGATATAATTGAAAAGAAGATAAAACAGAACCATCAATTCTTTATTTAAGAGTCAAATATGAGGCTGAATTAGGAACTCCAAGACTCTCTTAAATTATAGGTAATATATAAAGGACTGTAGAATTTTCAAAATCCTTATTGCATGAAGTTTATTATTGTCTTTATTACATAAATCACAAGAAAGAGTAGGCAGGAAATAATGGCATACTTTTAACCAATCCAACACAATTCTTTATAAAGGAATTAAAAAAGAAAAGGTTGCAAGTAATGCTTGCTTCCATACACAAATGTATTAAACGTCATGTCTACATGACATACTATTTAGGAACATTAAACAAGTGTATTGAATCAGATCTTATTAAAAATAACTGCCCTGTCACTATGTAAAGGAAATATAGGATATCTGGCACACAAAATCAATAATTAGGAATGAAAAGCACTTATAAAAGAGGGAAATAAACTTAAAAAAGTTAGTATGCTTACCTGAACCACCCAGGGACTGTTGGCAAAGGCCATAATATCTCTTTCTTCCCAGAAAAAAGCAGAATCTGATCTTTTAATCATTTCAAACTTACTAAGAAGCTTCATAGCATAAACCTTCTGTGACGCTTTATGACGAACCTGTTGATTTTTAAAACACAAAAATTATTAATATTAACTTTATGAAAAAGGTGAACGGCAACCCCTGGAACGCTATTATCAAAGCACTTCAGTTACAAGACACAGTGGCCCTCGGCAGTGAGAAGTAAAGGCGCAGCGTCGTTGTTGGTCCGGGCCCACGGGTATTTCCCATAGACTTTTTCAAAGGGAAGGGGTGGGAGGGGGAGAGGGAGAGACAGAGACAAAAATCAATGTGAGAGACACGTGGATAGGCTGCCTCCCGCATGTGCCCTTCTCCTCTCAGCTGAAACACAAACTCCTCAAATGAGTGACCGCCCTATCCAAAGCAGAAATCCACTGTTCTCTACCACAGAACTCTCTGTTTCCTTCCTAGCAGACACCATACTTGCAATTTTTTGACATTGTTTCCTTGCATTTATTGCCTGCCTCCCATATTGGAATGTAAGCTCAATGACAGTGAAGGTTATTCATGCCTGTTTTACTCTCCATTATAAGCTCAGTGCCAAGTACAATGCTATTACTGGCAATTAAAAGACACTCACTAAATATGTGATGCATAAATTAATGTGTGAAAAAAACTTACATTTGATAACTGGCCAAACTATAAATTTCCAATTATAAGAAAATAATCAACAGGTAATACTTCTAGAAAGTACCAGAAGTTCACCAGAGAGCGACTGCTAGGGGTTGATAAAAGAACAGAGACGGTACCGTTTATAAACAGCATTGGAGGGACATTCAATTTCCAGCGAAACAAGAGTGGAGAAGCCTTGTCAATTTTCTGGACATCCAGGTGAGATTAGGAGAAAGAACCATGCTCTAAACCAAGGCCTACACTAGCACTCCCTAACAAAGCTTAATAATACCACACCCTAGAAGAGCAAAAGGGGAGCAGAGTTGAGAGGTTCAGTCCTGCCAGTGAAAAGAACTTGCGAAACAACTTGCTCTTTTCACACATCTACATTTACAAAGTATAAAACTAACCCTACAACAAGGCAAGGATGATCAGCAAGTAACTGGACAGCTTGTTAGAATGAAAGTAAACATTCATCGAAGAAAAACAACAAAATCCAGTCTCTATCACATATCAAGGACCAACATATAAATTTAAAAATTACTTGATAGGCAAAGAGGAAATGTGATTCATCCTCAAGAAAAAAAGCAGTCAACAGAAAACCCCAATAGATGTTGGACTTAGCTAACAAAAACTTTAAAAAATTTAAAAATAGCCTTGAGTGAACAAAAGGAGATATCTACAGAGAAATGGCAACTATAAAAAAGAACCAGTGGGAAATTTTATAGCTGAAAAAAGACTAAAATGAAAAATTCATTGGCAGGGCTAAGCAGAGAATGGAGATGGAAGGAGCAAGTGAACTTGAATACAAATCAATCTGAAGAATAAAGAAAAAGATGAATAAATGAAAATAAAGACTCGGGCCTGTAAGACTATTTTAAATAGTCTAAAATGTGTGTAAATATAAGTGGATTAAACATACCAATTCATAGGCAAAAATTATGAGAACTGATTAAAAAGCAAAACCTAACTTTATATATTTATTTATTTTTAATTCTCACCCAAGGGTAATTTTTCCATTGCTTTTCTAAGAGAGAATGGAAGGGGGAGAGGGAGAGAGACACATTGATTGGTTGACTTCCACACATACCCCGACTGTGACCGGGGATGGAACCTGCAACCAAGGTACATGCCCTTGGCCAGAATCAAACCCGGGACCCTTCAGTCCTTGGGCCGACGCTTTAACCACTGAGCCAAACTGGCCAGGGCCTAACCTTATATATTTTCAATATAAGACCAAATGGATTGATAACGGAAGAATGGAAAAAGACATACCATGAAAACAACAAGGATAAGAAGTGGGCAGAGCAATATTAGTAACACACAAAGTAGACTTCAAAGCAAAGAATAAAAGGATAATTCAGATTAAAAAAGTATAATGCATCAGGAAGGCATAAAAATTCTAAATATGTATGCATCTAATAAATCAGCTTGAAAATTCATGAAGCAAAAACTGACAAGAAAAAAAACACACAGACAACTCCATAATTTCAGCTGGAAATTTTAACATCCCCTCTCAGTACTTGATATAACAAGTAAACAAACCTTTCAGTGTGGCCATAAAGAAAATACAGCCCAGAATGAAAACTGCCTAATCAGATTAGAAGTATAAAGGTTACTACATCAATAGGTTACATCACTTATCACTGAAGTACTCTGACATACTGTAACTGTACATGAAAGGAATCATGGGTCAAAGATTAGATCCATTTTCTATATTAACTTATTAAGCTGGGATAACAATTCTTTTGATTTATATAGTGTTATGAAATTTATAGAATGCTGAAAATAAATGCATGGGAAAGCAACATGAAAACACAGGTGGAGAGCAGGGGATTAAGGGATAAAGGATCCTATAAATACCTTCCACAGCAGATAGACCAGATTTTTAATTGATTTATGTTGAATTAACAAATTATCTCAAAGCAAATGCTCATTACAGCACTGCTATTATATGTTGTTTTAAAAAAATGTTAAAAATGTTGCTAAGGTAGTCCATCTTCTACATTTATGCCACTGTTAAAACCCTCACTTAATCTAAGGACAAATTAAATTTTGAATGTTTCCTAACTTCATTAGAAAAAGCAATCCATATAACATTATGAGTTAACCAATTAATTTATGCTGTAATATTATTTATGCTTGACTCAGACCATAAGAGAGTTTTAAGAATTCTGTTGTAAAGAACAGCTATGAACAGAAACTAGAAGATATTTGTCAGCTGGTAAAAAAATAGTTAAGTATTTGTATGTTTAGGTTTTATAGATGAATTAACTAAACAACAAACAAAAACAAAACTAGAAGGAAAAGGCCATTCAAATAAACAAACAAAAAGTTACACAACACAGTCTTCAGGTAATTTTTTAAACATGAAGAAAATGCTTACTGGCTTTACTCTGGTGATTCTTTACGCAAAACTACTTCCCTCTTAGTGCTTCCACAGTACTTATAATAAACTAATATTATTAGTTGTGCACATGTCTGTTCCATAAGCTTCTTTAGGAACAAAATATAAACTCTCATGTGTAGTGATTGGCATGACGCTGAATTGTCCAATTCAACAAAATCATATCTATGTCAGATTAAACTTTTAATAAATAAAGACTATTTTGGGTAGGTGCTCTAGTTAATGAGGCCTGAATTTCACTTAAACTACTATGATAGATGCCTGGCTGGGCGCGTATCAGTGGTTGAGCATCGACCTATGATCCAGGAGATCTCGTTCAATTCCAGGTCAGGGCACATGCCTGGGCTGAAGGCTGGATCCCCAGAAGGGGGCTCTCTCATCATTGATGTTTCTATCTCTCTCTCCGAAATCAATAAAGATATATTTTAAAAATAATAAAATAAAATAAACTTCTGTGATAGGATACCTAAGTGGCTCATAACAAAATAGGGCAGAACCACCAGCTTATAGTCTTTGACTTGAACTACAGAACAAACGTTAAGAGGCAGTAGTTGTAATTCAAGCCAAACATCCACTTTTAAAATTCATTAGCACTAGTGTTACAAAGTACTACAATAAAGCACTATTACATTAGGAAAGCTGGTTTACATTGATCTTCCCTCTGAAGATGCCCCTTTCTGAATGACTCTCAGAATAATCTCCCTCAGAATCTTTTTCCATTCCCCTTCTTTCTTTAGCTCCTTCTCTTCTATTCAACATGGATGGATAAACAGATATAGTAGCTATTCATTATCACACTGTACAAAGTATTGCTTAGAAGCATTGCTTTAGATGTCAACAAACCTGGGCAAAAATCCTAGCTACTTATGAACTATGTAGCCAATTAACCCCCTCTAAATTTAAGTGCCTTCACCTACGTAAGAATCGCATAGAAATGTTGCAAAGATAAAATGAGATAAAGAATATAAAGACTTAGAGCATAGATTAGCACACAGAATACACTTAACGAAAATGTTAGTTAACTGTAGCACAGGCAAATGGAACTTAACTCATTCTATTACGGGGCTTTAAATGTGTCTCTGATGTCACTAGTCTGAGCTCCTGGAGGACAAAAGCATTGCTCTCAACCCAGTGTTTCCATTTGTCAGAGAAAAGACTGTGATTCCTCAGCGGATGAACACAAAAATACCATACAACTGACTGTATATACATCAAATAAGATTAAAAACTAATAACAACAAAGGTCAACAAGGGTCAAAAGAGTTAACAGTGGTTTCATCTCAGCTGATGGAAGTCTGGTGATTTTTATTTTCTTCTATTTGTTTATTTGTATTATCTACAGCTAAATGGAACATTCTTACATGTAGCTAGAGACATGCTTGGAATATTTGAAGAACAATGCATATATATTTTATTAATAGAGATGAAAACTATATATTTAACTTAAGAAAGCATTCAAAAGGCTAAAATTTGTAACCTTCTTTTTCAAAGTAAACAGGGTTATATCCAAGATAAGTCAGCAAACATAAAAAAAAAGCAAGTATTCATACTGTGGTCAAAAGGGTAATGTCACTGAAGTTCATCCCAACATACATATACGTATACCGTTATGGACTGAATTGTGTGTTGTTCTTTCCCCCCACCACTAAAGTCATATTTTGAAGCCCTAATCTCCAGTACCTCAGAATGACTGTATGTGGAGATAGGGCCTTTAAATAGGTGATTAAGTTAAAGTGAGGTTGGAAACCTAATGCAACCTGACTGGTGTCCTTATAAGAAGAGAAACTTAGAATCAGACAGTCCAAACTTTATTTGTTATTATTTACCACATCACCAATAACTCTTGCCTTGTTTACATTCAAGGAAAATTGTTCTTTAATCCATAATTACCAGTAAGCAATCTATTCCTGAATTCTTCACATCCAAGTATAGGTCATTACTCTGGTTAAATTTCACTTTAGCCAATCATCTTCTTAACTGATGATTTCTGGATGGGGGCTCATCATCTAAAATTATCCTCATACTTCAGTTTTAACTCATTTGCAAAATTATTCAATATTCTACCACTGCCTCCATAAAATTTATTAATAAAATGTTTAATAAGAGAGGAGAGAACCCTAGAACCTGTCCCTGGGGATCTCTGTCCAAGGTACTATTCATGCCTTCATCAGCCTCATTAGAATACAGCTATTAAATTAGTATAAAGCTGCCTACCTGTATACTTATTCATTGACATTTCTCTTTATCATCCTCATGCATGTCAGACTTTTTCAAATCTACTGTAGATATATATTACACCTATTATATTACCCTGATCTATAAGTTCAATAAACATATCAAAGAGAGAGGGAACAAAAGGGAAGAAAAAGACAGTGTCATGACTTGTTCCTAGAGAAACCCAGACTGGTACATGGTAATCACCGCTTTTCTTGGTGCTCAGTCAAGAAGAGTAAAACACTGTTCAGCGAAAACAGAAATGGACTCCATACTTCAACTATAAGGACACAAACAGAGAAGTTTCATACACAGGTGATGGAAACAGGAATATTATTATAGTTCTTCATTTAATACTACAAATGAAATATTTACTGCAAACATTTACAATATTTCTAGTTGGTACCACTCTGACCTGTAAAGATAAATTTCAGTTATTCAAGTGTATATGTTGGGTTTCTCATATATCTGAATAAACCTCAGTTAATTAATCAGAGATGTTATTAATCTGATACTAAATAAAACACAGTAGTTCTGGTGGAATATTCACTATGCAGATCATGTGTGAAGCCAAGCTGGCCTTCTTCTAAATCTCATTGTTTCAAAGCTAGTAAGAGATGTGGTGTTTATAGCACAATTGCCTCCTTTTATAGATGAGCACACTGAGGCTCTCTGAGATGGAATGACTTGACCAACCTCAGAAAGCTAACTCTGGCATGGCCAGGCAAAGAAATTAGATCTACTCCAGGGCTATTGATAATGTTTCACAAAATGATGTCATCAAAAAATAGTAATAAGAACAATACAAATATTTTCTTACCAACTGGACTTCACCAAAAGCACCTCTTCCAATAACTTTTACAACATCATAGTCTTCTGCCTTCATCTGTAGACCTCTGATTTTTTTCACAATTTTCTCATCTACAATAAAAAGACCACCATATTTATAATATTAATCATCACATTTATAAATAATATTTTTAAATAATCACCGTACTTGTAAACAAATTTTTATTTCAAGAAACTGGGCTTAGTTTTCAGCTAAATCTGTCAAGTTTTTAAAGATTGCTATTTAAAAATATAAGATACACATTAACTTTACATCAAAGAACCAAAATGCTATGGTTTATTAACACAAAAAAACAAACACTGCTGACTACCAAAAAGTAGCAGTTAAGCCATTCTGTTTCTGACTCTGCTGCTTGGCAAGTTAGATGACAGCTGAAACAGTGATGACCCAAGCAATCCTGAGTGCATTCTAAGTCATGGAAGAAAGCTACTATAAAATTACTTGCAGGGCTAATCTTAGTAATGAATTTTTGTAAGCCTACTTCTTTAGTAATCACATATTGTAGATATGGTAACTATAGACAAAATTGCTGAATTAGGAAAACAATCCCATCTCTGACAATTCCAAATTAAAGAGCTTACTGTGTTGAAATAAAGTGCATATTAGTTATTTTAAAATTTTCTTATTCTTAGAATTCACCTTCGTTACACCTTCATGGCAACATCAATACTGACAAATATTAAGAGTTACCATATATATGGCAATAATTGTTATTACATTATCTTTTGCTAACTAGACTGAAATGTCTACATTTATACAAACATAAAGCTCATTAAGTAGTCCGGATAATGTAAAGGCAAGTCTTAAGAGTTGGTAATATTCATTTAAAACTTCTCTTGGAAGTGCCATAAATAATCTGTCCTGAAGCCACTAGTCTTAATAACTTACACAAAATCTTGTACTTTACCTACTTTGTATGCTACAATTGGTTCTGCAGTTTTTCTTTGAAAAATAAAGAATATTAGTATTTAAATAAATCAAGCGGCAAGCTAAAAACTACTTAAGTTTAGTAAGTTAATAAGTTTATGGATTTTAATACTATTAACCAAACATAAAAGTCTCATGAAAGTATAGTTATAGGATGAAACATGAAGTTTAACATACTTACATCTGTTTAAGAAATTATCTATATTCTTGTTTTTCCTCAAAGCAGGAAAATCCAAATCAAGGACCAAGGAATTTAAGCCATCCTATTTAACAAAAAATAAAAAAGAGGAAAAAGAAAGTTGTTACAATTCCCAAGCATTCAAAAAAAAGGCCTTTCATTTTATCATAGATTGTTCACGCTGAATAAATGTCAATCCACTTTCATATGAAACTGCCCAGTGGCTCAATATCCAACACCTTTAACTGACCTTCTGTCAGAAAGTATCAGGATTGATCCTATCATGGTTTCCTTTGTTCTCTTAGCTAACAGAAACAAGTCATTTAAAAATATGTATCCACTATTATTTTTGTTGGTTAGATGACTTTTCTCTCTTCAAATGCCCAGTAAAATTTCACCAAGATTTTGACTTTTAGAAATACACTCAGACTAAGGAAGTTGCCGTTCACTCAACAATCATTAATTTTGTGCCTAGTGCAAAGAATAGAAAATCCAAAAATAAGTAAGACACTAACTATCCTTACCTTCAGAGAACTCAGCCTCAAAACTAAATTTCCCATAAAAACATGAAAACGGGATGATGCACTGTTCAGATTTCTATTTTCTTCTTAAAGTTTTCTGTATTTTCCAGACTTTCTACAAGAATGCATTAAATTTATAATCAAAATAGGAAAAAGTACATACATATAACTTGGTAGGGGTGAAAAAAAACTAAGAAACAAGTTACTCAGTGAATATGCTTGTGTAGGAAACCATGTTTCTAAAACACTATCATATATATTGTCCCATCCCCAAGTAACTCTGAGGAGGGCAGAATAAAATATATCCATTTTAAAAAATAAACAAACTAAGGCTTATATTAAGTGACTTAGACTTGCCCAAGGTCATGCTATTAGGAAATGACTAGCAGGATACTACCTAAATCTTAGAGACCCAATATAACTTAACTCATCCCCCTACTCTCAATGACCAGACTCACATCAACAGGAGCTTGGAAGGGTAAAGAAGGAAGCTGGAGGATTGCAGAAAACAAATCAGCAATAAAGAGACCTTTTGGGGATCTGGGTAGAGGGAAAATTACATGCAAAACTTAGAAAGGTAACTTGGGGTTTTAAGTTACTAATTCTAGAAGAACTGCACATACTATATTTTACCATTCATTTATACTTCACATTTGAAATTTTCATTCTTTAAAAAATGTCAATACTTTATGAAAACATTAATAACAGACACCAGAGGTGCTCAGAGTAACTATAAACATTTCAATTGCAATTAAAATGATTTAGACACAGAAAACAATCTAGATTTTCCTTAACTGAAAAAGAATTCATTAAAAATAATAAATATCCAACTTCCAGTCAAGTTGAGACTGTTAAATTCACTTTGAGACTACCCCACCCTCCAGTGCCCACAATTCCCACTCCAGGACAGCTGAACTAGGGTTTTTTTTCCAGTCTCACCTGAGGATATTTTTTCCATTGCTTTTCAGAGAGAGTGGAAGGGGAGAGGGAGAGAGGGAGGGAGGGAGGCAGGGAGACAATGTGAGACAGGCATATCGACTGGTTGCCTCCTGCACTCGCCCTGAACAGGGCCTGGAGGTGGGGATCCAGCTTGCAACTGAGGTACGTACGTGCCCTGGGCCAAAATTGAACCCAGGACCCTTCAGTCCACAGGCTGACGCTCTAACACTGAGCGAAACCCACCAGGGCTGAACTGCTTTTCAAAGATTCCAGCATTTTATCATACTAGGATACTTTTAAGTAACAAAATATCAATATATCTTTACTGATATAATTTTGATATTTTAAAAAGTTTAAAACGTAAAATCTGAATCACTTATATTTTTAGATATATCCATATTTATACTCTGTATTCAATTTTCAAATCAAAGAAAGGTGTTTTCATGTGGAAAGCATTCTTCTATGCCTCCATTAACCTCCAAAAGAAGAAAAAATTTAAATTGGTAAGGCATAAGCTTCTATTATTGCAAGAATATTAACAAAATTACATTGCCTCAGTTTTTGTAATTACAATAATATAGTTCACCAGCATCTTTTTCTTAAGCCAAGTGGTTCAGCATCAATATTCTAAGTGCATTGGTGGCAAGGTCTGTTTATACTGTGCTCCATCAGAGAGGCACTCCAGGGAAGACTGGATTACTTAAAAGGAAGTAAGGGCATCTAAGAACAGAATAACCTATACTTTATTGACTTTTTGGAGCTGAAAGGAGTGAAAAAGAGAAAGAAACAACTTTTACTGCAAAGTCTATTTAGTAACTAAGGATGCTGAAGATGATGATGACCAACACCATTAAGTGGGGGAGAAGCCATGTTGAAAACAGAACTATTCCAGCTTTTTTTTTTTAATTTTGAAAGTAAACTAAACAGACAAAGCTTTGTTTACTGGTGCTTTGTTTACAGAAGGTAAACAACTTGGTTACATTTCTGCTCAAGGACAAAAAACAGTCCTCCAAACCCATTTCCAGTCAATTGTTCAGTTAATTAAACCAAGAGAACCTTCTCTTTCATTTTATAACTAGAAGTCTGCCCACATGGTTTCCACCCACCAAGAACCTAAATATAGAAAATCCTTTTTCCACAAGTTGTGAAGTTAAAGTTCCGTTTTATCTCCAAAGAGTCCCTAAAATAAGATCAATCACTCAATAAATGTTGGTCATTATTATTTCCATTATTTTCAATGTTACCTAAATACAAACTTGGCATTCAAGGATTAAGTCATTCAAGAGATGTAGAGTTTAAAGGTGTTTTAAATGTGGCTTTAACATCTAAACCTATCAGCACATCTTTGATACGAACAGATAGAACCAAAAAACGTTTCCTCACTGTGTTCCATAAAGAAATCTATTTTACTTTTAAAATTTTCATTCTCAACATCTGTATCACAGGGCTAGTCTGACAACTAATCAAGTATTGTTTATGAAGCCAAATGAAACAAAGGTAAATCTGAAAAGTACTAGTCACTACCTCCTTCTGTTATAAATGTACTTTACTGTAATCAATTTTAAAAACTCTTTTCAATCTTACTACAATTTTATATAGCTTGAAATTTTATTTCAGCCAATTAAAATCTTAGAGATTGCATACAACATGTAAGCATTTCGAGCAACACTATTTACAGTAGCAAAAATTCAAAGCAACCTAAAAATCTTGAACAAAAAAACTTATATAAATTTTACTAAAGCTTGTTAGAGCTATATGAAGCAATCATTTAAAATGATGGTTATAGTACAGAGTAGGGATTATAGTCAATAATACTGTAATAACTATGTGTGGTGCCAGCTGGATACTAGACTTGCCAGGGGGATCACTTTGTAAATTATAGAAATGTCTAACCACTACGCTGTACACCTGAAACTAATATAAAATAATATTGAATGTCAACTGGAATTTAAAAATCTAAAAGTAAAATTTAAAAAAATAATAAATTTTAAAAGTGATGGTTAAAAAGACTATAATATAACATCAATGTCAAAAAAAAAGTACACTATATAAAATTGAATGTATGGTAATTCTACTTAAAGGAAGTATGCATATAAAAATTTTTAAATGAAAACACAGCAAAGTGAATACAGTAATTGTGATAGTATGGTGGAGTTATACGGTTTTATTCTTTTATTTTCCTAAATTCTAACATTTTTGCAGTGCCATTTTGTAACGCATAATAAAATAGAATAAAACCTAAGTGGACAAGATCTAAAGTATTAGAGAACACACCTTAATAAATTCATACTTAAAAAATACTCATGTAGTATAGCTCTCCATATTTCTACTGAAACATATCCTATTTTAAATTCCTATAAAGATCACAATAAAGATTCAAGTTCTGGGCAGAAGCAACATTTATTTGAATTCCACAGAACTTTGGGAAAAGGAGGGGGGAGAACATAAGACTTGTAGGAGGCAGAGGAGTGATATCTAATATTGTGGAACTCTCACTCCTGTGGTCTCCTTAACCTTATCATTTCCAATAACTGCAACACCTCCATAATCCCAATTTTAAACATCCTAGTCATTGCTCACCATCCTCTCATCTTTCCAGCTCCCTCTCACTAATACCTCCCACTCCAACAACCTTTTGACTCATCAGGGGCCTTCAATCCAGACCCGATCATTTCCCACTATCCTTCACCTTCCCCACTACTGTTTTACTCTTTATATACTTAAAGTCCAGTCCATCATCATAATCACTGCCCTGCACTTACCCTCTTGTTCTTCTCATTTAATCATACTCTCCTGGAAAATTATGTCATTGGTTAATCCAATTCTCTTTCTAGGTCTGACTTAGGAGAAGCACACAACCATGCTCAAGCGGCCCTTTGCTGAGTGGCAACCCTGGCCTACTTCCCGGGGCCATTTTCTCTCCCAGCCTCCTCCTGGATGATTCCAAATTTTTTCCCCTCAAACTTCAAAAATCTCCTCTCCTAATGTCATTCTCAGCTACAGTCCTGGTATATCTCATTACGAGCTTGCACAAGCTCTTATCACCAAGTAGTCTATACTCCTGCATCTGTACCCACATAGTCTTTCTTTCCTGCTGTTATAGTATAGTCCTAACCATAGAGCCAATCTCTCCACCTATGCCCTAATCTCCCATCCCCTCTCACCTACTAAAAGACAACACTACAATCCTCTGGTCCCCCTACCATAGCCATCCCATCATCTCCCCTCTCTCTCTCTCTGATTACTGCCATTGGCATTTCTCTTGCCCTTAAAAAAATAAAATCCCTTGACTCCACTTCCCATACAGCTTTCATCTCATTTCTCCCCTTTTCTTTACAGGGAAATTCCTTGAAAGAGGCACCTATACTATCTGCTTTTAGCTTTTCTGCTCCTACTCTCTTTAGAACTCACTCCAGTTGCCCCCCATCCCACCACGTCCACAAACAAATTATCTGAATTGTTCTTCTCAAGCCTATCACACTGCTACCCAATTATCATTTCTGGTTCCACATTTTACTTGACCTATAAACATCTTTGAACAATCAATCCTTTACTATCTATTTCTTGAAAATCTTTCCTCATTTGACTATGATGGCAATGCATTCTCATGGTTTTCTATGCATGTCTCTGGCTGCCCTTTCTCAGTCTTCTTTGCTGGTTTTCTCCTCATTCCTTGGGCTCTCATCTTGTCTCTAAGTGCTAACAGCTTCCATATTTATTATCTCTATCCCAGATACCTAAAATAATGAATTCTAGACCCCTATCTTCACTTGCCTATGTGCTACCCAGTTTATCTGGATGTCTAATAAATATCTCAAATGATGATGTCCAAAACTGTACCTACCCATTTCCACTGCAACCACTTCACCATTCAGTCCCACATCTCAGCAAATGGCAATTTCATCCTGCCAAATACTCAGGCCAACATCTTTGGTGTCAACCTTGACTTTTCTCTCTCTCTCTCTCTCTCTCAAGAACCTAAATCCAAACACCTACAAACCCTGCAAGCATTACCTTCAAAATAAATTCAGAATTCCACCAGTTTTCACTACTCCCACTGCCACCACTCTAGTTCAAGACTTCATCATTTTACTTGAATTATGGCAAAAGCCTACTATCATGTCTCCCTACCTGCAGCTTTGCCCTCTCCTTTACCCTTCAGATTATTTTCAATGCAACAGAGATGATCCCATCACTCCTCTGTTCAAAACCTCTAATGGCTTCCACTTCATTGAGAGTAAAGTACAAATATCCAGCTATAACCTATGAGGCTCTTTATGATCAGCCCTTACCCACTTAACACCTCGCTGCCCGGCTATCTAGAGCCAGAACTCACCCACGCAGCCAGGTACTTTGGTCAGCAAGGTGTTTAAACTTAGTTAAATTAATGTAAGTGCAGACTCAAGTTATCTCATGGCTGGTCAGCAATGTTCAGACACGAAAACACGTGTATACTGGTGACCGGTCAGCAAGGTGTTTAAT